TTTGATCCTATTGTGTGATGGAAAGCAGACTTACTTGCATCCTTGTTTTGTTCCCGTCTTATGATTCTGCTAGCATGAAGCTCATAGAATTTTGATTATATCCACATTGTTGGACTTTCCTATATCGGTGTGCAATGGTCCCCTGACTTACATTACTCATTTCAGAACTGAGGCAGAAGATTTAACACCGCGGTGGTTTCAGCTTCAAAACAATTGTGAATGCAGATGATAACAGATGGGAGTGTTCCTCCCGACTGCATGTTTGTGCCAGATATCCTCGTTACAGCTTGTTCTGAATTGCCTAGATTTCAAGAGCTGCTTAATTCCAGTGAAGGTGAAGAAACAAATAGCATGCTACATGAAAGGCAGACTCTGTGCATCCTAATGAATTTGCTCTGCTTATGTAGAGAAGAAGGATAAGTGACAGCTCAGATGGGCAGGCAAAGAGGCTGCTCGGTAAGTAGAATGAAAATTTGCGAAAGACTGCTCTTCTCTTGAGAGTAATAAAGAAAACAGAGGGGCAGCAGAATTTAATGAGAGGCTTCCCTTCTTAGATCTGATAACTGGGAGGAAGGGATGTAACACATTTGCTAACCCAGCCAGTGAAGAAGGCATGGCCTATGTGGGGCTAACACCCATTTGCTTCAAAAGCCAGGCGATTCAGCTGCAGAATGGCATTTGCTGGGACACTGGCAAACGGGAAGGGGAACTTACATACACCCAGTGCTTTTTTTCTGGGGGGGGGGATGCAGGGGTACGCATACCCTTAAACATTTTGTGAACCTAGGTTTGGCCTCATTGAAGGGCAGTATTTCAGTATGAGTAGGAAAATGAGAGTACCCCTAAACATTTTTTTTTTTAGAAAAAAAAGCACTGCATACACCTTTGCCCTGCTGTGGTGACTACTGTACAGTTGTCTGTTTTATTGTGTATTAAATATATGGTAAGCTGCCTCAAAAAAACTTTAGTTAGTAGGCAGGGCATAAATACAGCAAAATTTTAAATTTAGGTTTTTATTGTATAGTTTTACTTTTTTATTGCTGAGAACCGCTTTGATTATATTTTAATGGCGTAGCAGTATACAATTTTTGAATATGAATAAATAATAAACTACTGCTGAATCTTCATTGTTCAGCTGCATAGGCCACCAATACACACACACACACACACACACACACACACACACAAATAGATGGGGAAATCCAAATCAATTTAGCATATTTCATCAAATAACATGCCTTCAAAAAGGAAATAAATAATGTCCCCTCTCCTGAACAAAAGGGGCACTGATGCCTGCCATTAATTAGCAGATAGGTACTGCAGGCATGATAGGGGTCCCCCCCCCCTTTAATGCCTGTCAGAGACTGGCAGGATACTGAGGAGTGGGCACCGGGAGAAGGGAGGTTGGATCCTGACTTGGAAGAAAGGATCAGTAATCTGGGGGAGCCTGTGACAGCCAAGGGACAAGAGCCAGAGGCAGGAGAAGCTGCAGGACTGGAGAGTGAAGAATGGGCGCAGAAGTAGGGAAAGATAGGTCAGGCTGGTGTAAAGGCTTCCAAACCTCCTGCTGCTGCTGCTGCCGCCCCCAACTCCACTGCTCCACTGTCTCCTAGGGCCAGGCGAGAACTGAAGAGGGAGAAGCAGGAGCAGGTTACACACAGGTGTAGTCTTTGCCTGCTTGCGCGCAGCTCGAGTGAGGGAAATACATAAGCTAAATAAAGTAAAAAAGGTACCGTATTTATAAAATGTGTCCAGATCTGTTGATTATTTTCCAAGAGCACCACTGACTTCGAGGCAAAGCTAACTAAGTGTTCCTTTTCTGCACCCTCTAGATGTTTTTCAAATGTTTGGCGGCATATCAGCAGTTGCCAGTGCTTGGTAACCGGCACTGCTTTGCATATCAAGACAGACAGCAATGTTAACAGCAACTCAAAGATACCCCCTACTGGCAAAACGGAGCTTCCTTGTGGAAATATAAAATATATAAAAATATATAATATAAAAATATATAAAAATATAAAAGCTCTGGATATTGCTTTTATAATTATCTTCTTATTTTTAAGTGCATGTGCACGGATGTTTCCATTCCAGCTATTTTTCTGGGGAGTGGCTGCTGTGAGTTTGGAACAGGCATCTTTTGTTACTACTGCTGTATAAAGATACATGTACAAATGGTTCATTCTCATCCATTCCTGCTGAATATTCACACTTTGATATAGCTTGGTAAGCCTTCCAGACACGGCCATTTTCAGTTATTTTAGCACTGAGTACATAGGATCATGTTGTAAATCTGCTAAGGACAGAGCAATAGAAAACTTCTGATTATCTGTGTATGCACATACTATTTTCCTAGCAGATTTAACTCTCCTAGTTTTGTTTTGTTTTCTGTTAACACAACAGTGTCTCACTGCAGAATATGTGTTTGAACACTAATTAGAGGTATTGTGTATCTCACTAAATGCTGCTGCGCAACTCTCACGCGTACCTTGCCATTTTCAGACTTTCTCCTTACAGCCCTGAGTCATATCCAGCATTCTCACCATTTTCTGTAGCATTTTCAGTGCTCTGGAAAGCACAAGCACTTTGCTCAAGAACACGAAATACCAACCCAAAGCAAGTAGCAGAGTGCAGCTGAAGAGCAGGCCGCTTCATCAAACCAACCCAAACACTTCTCTCAGCAGCAGGCAGTAGAAGCTGGCAAAATCCTGAGGTAGTTCCATAGTAAACATTGCCTAATAATAATAATATTTGCACCCCTACCATCTGAGTTGCCCCAGCCACTAAGTAGCCTAGGAAGGCCTGAACAATTAATTTCCTGTGACTTGCAAAAAGCTCTCCTCTACTGACAAACATTCTAAAATGGATAAGCCGTTCTTTTGTTTTCTTTTACAGTCATTAACATTTTCCTGTCGTTTCACACTTCATAGTACTATTTTGATGTTATAGTTCTTTGTCTGTTACATTGGTTTCTGCAGTCCAGATTCGAAAAGCCTAAGACTGATTTTGAGGGGGGCAAATCTCTCCCAGAAAGAGCAGGCTAGGTAAGGTTTTGCTCAAGTGTGCACATTTTCATCAGTTGGACTGACTAGAGAAACTAGGGTTCAAATCCCAATGAAACTCACTGGGTGACCCTGGGCCAGTCATTGCCTCTCAGCCTAACCTGCCTTGTTGTTGTTGATTATTAGATTTCTGTACCACCCTTTATCAAAAGCTCCCAGGGCAGTAGACAACATTAAAAACATCTTTTAAGGAACATAATTATAATAATAGCATAATAATAAAGAGCATAATAATAAAATAATCATAACAGTCGTCGTCGTCCCCTTAAATAGACCATAGATTATTTAATGGCTGAAGGTCTGGGTAAAGAGGAATGTGTTTTCCTGGCACATAAAGACATGTAATGGAGCCAGGCGATTCTCTCTGCAAAGAGCGTTCCACAGATGGGGAGCCACCACACAAAAGGCCCGTTCTCATGTTCCCACCCTCCAAAATACCAGGCAGGGTTCAAGGATCCTATCAATTGCAGCAAATTAAATTAATGCCACCTGCCCTCCACAATGAGGGGTGGGGATGGAAAGAAAGGCAAACATGGAACTTTACCTCATGCCCTTTTGCAGGATTCCTGTACCTTTAAAAGCCTGATAATGACAAGACTCCCATCCTGACAATGTGGAGTCTCTTCAGGATTTGCACCCCAGGCCTTTGCTTTGAAAGCCTGCTGGTTGGATAGCAGCACTGCAGCACTTGGGTTGAAAAATGGTGGGAGCACTGGTGATTTATTGTAAATATTATTATTATTATTATTTCTTAGTATTATATATGCAGTGCTTTTTTCTAAAAAAAATAATGTTTAGGGGTACTTTCATTTTTACTCAAGAAAACCACCATTTTATAGTTCAAATCAGGGAAAATAAATACAGTAAATGGGCAAAAGTACAGAGAACATGCATTACTCATATTGAAATATTGCCCTCAATGAGGCCAAACTTTCATCAATAAATCACCACACATCCACATTCCACACTGCTTCACACATTAAATGCTCGCTTCCGTCTGAGAGTCAGCAAACACCATGACAGGGAATGAGGCGGTCATCGGCGGTAGCAATGGAAGTGACGATTCACTGTGCTAAAGAAACGAAAATTTCAAGAGTTTCTTCTCCTGTTAAGAGTCACAAAACGTTTAGAGGTATGCACCCCTCTGCGTCCCCCCAGGAAAAAGCACTGTATATGTTTCTCTGACCATTATTGTTTTAATATTATGTAAAATGACGCTATAATCAAATGCTATGGGTTTGTTTTCGGAGGCTGTATTAAATTTTACATAATTTAAAAAATGATTAGTATTATATGTTTCTCATCATATAACAGCAAGCAAAGAGGTGTTCGCAATGTTAGTAATGATTTACTTTCTTGTATAAGAATAGCATGACTTTTTTTGGCAGAGTACTCCTCAGGGATCCAATTTGTTACAAAGGTTGGTTGTTATTATTTAATGTACTGCTGTTATAAAAACTGAATAAAAATAATTACTTTAAAAAAAAAGCAGCAGCAGCCAGGTCGGAGTACTACATTTCCAAATTGCCTATCCTTCAACCTTTTTACAACATGGCTGCCCAGAAGGAAGGCATGGCGCAACGTAGAATGAGAGAGTACGTGGCTGAAGCTTCACCGATAATTGTGCTTCCATATCGGAAAAGGCTTAATCTGTTGAATTTCTGCCTGGCACACAGCTCTTAAAGGCACGAGAACCCCGTTTTCACCAATATCAACCCTAAACTAAAGCATGGCTTAGTGACTAATTCATGTAGGAGTGCACAAGGAGGAGAGGTCTAATGAAGAGGAATATTTCACTGTAGCTTTTCAGTTTTTATATTAATGTGTAGTAGCAGGGTGTTTTTTTAACTCAATATTTTAACTTTGAATTATAAATGAGTCTTCTCAAGAGTAGCAACGACTTTTAGGTGCTGGTTTCAGCCATACAAAACAACTCAAGTGTACTGTTCTTGATCACAGCTCTTTATTTTATTTCTTCAAGTGTACAAAACTATTGACCAATGGTAGAGCTTTAAATTTACAAATGGCCTTTTAAACAAGTTGGAACTCAGCTGTACATTTAAGCATGCAACACACAATTTCCACTTCTTTTAAAGGAATTACTTGCTTCTCTTATCACACTGCATGCAGCATGATTTTTTTTAAAAAAGAAAACAGTGCAATAATAATGCTACTTTACATGATATGTAGAAACAAAAAACTTTCATGAATAGGGTTTTCTTCTCTCTCTATATATAAAATATGTGCATTAACATTCACATTGTCTGACATAACTTCTTACTTTTCCTTACATATATTGTATGCACTGGATTAACCACTGGTCTGTACAGCTTTAGTAAAACAGCCCATTTTCAGTTAAAAAAGTGTAACAGTATAAAAATCCAAGCAATGTGTTAAAGTAAAAAAGAAAAATGTGGTGGGAACTGTGTGAAGCTCAAAAACTAAAGAATGTGAACAAGAGTTCAAGAATAGCAGAATGCTTTATATTTAAAAGTGCTTTCCAGATTTGAGCCAAAGTTTAAATCCACTAAAAGTGTTTTTTGGTTCACACAAGGAAGCTATTTGATTAGAAGTGTTCTTTTCCACAAGCTCCATCAAGAATTGGAGACCTTATTTTTCTTTCAATTCTTAGTAATTTTCCTCCTCACATCCCACACACACTTTTGTTCACAAAAGTTTATTTTCTCAGAATGTTTTGACCCATGAAAACCAAAGTGAAGCCAAAATAATCTGTCTGTGATGTTATGATTTTTATTATGGCTATTTTTGTAGTATCACAAACAAAGCATTGCAGCTTCATTGTACAAGAAGACACACTCCAAAATCTGGAGATCTTGTTGGGTCCTAGTCATTACTAGTTATTCAAAGAAAAAAAATTTGATGTGTTCTTCAATAAATGTACCATATCTTTTTCAAATTGTTTGTCTGATAGTTAATATTGGAAATATAGCAACTTCCAAGTTTAATGAATAGATATGGCACAACCTTGACAACATTGTTATCATAAACACACCTCATCTCTGTGTGAATTCCATCAAGGCACTATTACAATACTCAAGTTTCTGATGGCCTGCTCTCAAAAGATGCCCAAAAATTGAGGATACAGTAGAAACATAGCAGTCACAAGAGTTTAGCAGTTAAGTATTCTATTTACAACAGGATAAAAACCATGAAGAAAGTAGTTGTTAAAGCAAGTAACTACCATCGTGGTAGACGAGATGAATGTATTTAACTCTCATTCCATTTCATTAACATTGAATTGGCAAGAAGTTTTTCCCCAAAGGCACAGGAGGGCAGTGAACTGTAACATCCTTTGATACATACAGATTAGCTGTTAGAATGAACTTTTCATGAAAAGGAAGCATGCTGTACTCCTATAAGGGATGCTTAATAGTTAAAAACTAACCTAACACGTGTCACAAGTTTTTGTGTATTGCCAGAACTCTATTTACTACTTTACACCCAACACATTTAGTTTCTTTTTAGGTATGTTAATGGTTACATGGCATATTAAAGGCTTATAGTGCATTTCTTTTAAACAAACAGCCATAAATATGGCAGTAACAAGCAATTCTGAATATTTTCTACTTCTGTACATAAAATATACACAACTGAGTGAGAAATCAAGTGCTCTGCTTTAAATACTAAAAATTAACAGGGACGTCATTGCCTTCAGAGTTCTACAAACTGTACAATCAGGGTTTTTAGAACTATGTGCAGAAAACAGTTGGTCTGAAGGAATTTAAGATCGTATACACATAGCTAAATATTATATATGAACAAACTAGGCTTATAATCAACCACATTGTATAAAAAAATTAATCAGGCAATAAATTCCTTTGTTTTGCTCAGCCAAGGAATTCTGTAAAGGAGCAAAGCAGGAATTTAAATTTTAAGAGCTGTGCTTTTTATATTTGAGACAGGAGAAGACAGGACTCTTGTGACTTAACTTTGCCACAGAAAGTTTTCTTAAAAGCAAATAAATAATGAAATGCCCCAAAGAATAAAGCAATTGAATACGTTTTCCAGCTCTACAAAAAAAATGCACGAACAGAACATATGTGCAAGCAGGCAGACATAGAATATATTAGGTATGCACGTTAAGCAGACAGGGGCGAAAGTCCAGTGAAAGCAAGTTAACATAACAGTTTTGACCACTGGGTATTGCAGTGTATGAACAGCTAGTTGTCCCAAATGCTCACTAATACATATAGATCATCAACCTCAGCATAAATATTTGGTGGTGCTACTGTCACTGGAGTTCTTTTACCAACTTGTATTTGTAACTATGACAGCATCCCAGGCAATCTGTAAAGCATCCAGCTATGCAGACTAAACTGCCTGCTACAACCACATTAAATCTTAACTTTTGATTTGCAGCACTAGAAACCTGTTAATACACTGTTATGGAATTGTGTGTTAAATGTGCACTATTTGATGCGTATTTAAAGATGATTTTAAAAATTTGGATTTGGCAAAAAGTCCACAAGGCAGAACAAAAGGGAAAGACCTGAAAGACAGGCAAGACCAGGATGGGAAGCCTGTCCAAATATTGCTGGACTCTTCACTCTTCACTTTTACAGCCAGTAATGATGGGAGTTAAGAGTTCAACAACATCTGGAGGGCCACGGGTTCTCCATCTTGGGCTGGACATATGCAAATATTAAACCAGAAAGATTTGAATCCAGGATATCTTACTCTGCTTAAGTTGTTTTAGACTACATAACAAAAGTAGTAAATTGACAGCTTCTTATATAACATTTGACTGCTAAATTGATCGACAGCGTGCCACATACGCATGTCTTACTGAAAGAATTTATATTTGCTGTAAAATAAGATCACTGAAAATTGGGACATCCTACTTTTCTGCATGTTGCCTTGCATCTTAAATTCATACTATATATGTCATGTAAACAAGCAGAATAGCAGGACTAAAAATTGGTTTTGAACAGATTTGTCTTTTGGAAATTTGAAAGCATCCGGTAAGATTTGAAGACTGGGTTTTTTTCATTTACAGTGAGCGCTAGGATCTAGGCCCCCTCAAAGCAAATGTTTATAGACAGTACTGTGTGGGAATTACCTGGCTCCTGGGATTTATTCTTGAAACGCTGAGGTTGCTACCCAAGACTGTATATTATAGCATAACTGTTCAGACACAATTACATTCAAATGGCTCAAATGGCTCCATTAAACCCAATGTTTGTTGAAAACCATGCTGATGCTTCATTACCCTAGAAAGTCTTTTCTGGTATCAAACAGAACCCTTTTTCTACCCCAACAGTAACCACGGCTTCCACTGTCTGCACCTCAACATAATGAGTTTCTGAAACTGTTCACTGTCTAATACAGCACCTTGCAATTTGCCAACAGACGATGCTGTTTGGGAAGAAATGAATTGAATGTTGCTGAGCACACAAATCTCTCTCTTTGGACTGTTGTAATGGTATTTCTCCTAAATTCACTAATGTGATCAACGGTATTCCATTTTCATAAACTAAGGAAAACTGCAGATAAGTAACAATCACAGAAATGTGCGATTAATGAAATGTTGGACTAATTGCGTAAACATTTTTTAATGGCAATGAACAACTGAGTAGTTTAATCTTTTTACCACTATTAAGTTTCCAAATGAGTATCCCTGGATATAATTTTCCTAATGAATGTATGAAGACCATAATTCCCACTAAACTCTGAAGACGTTTTAGGTTAGAATTCACTTGTTTTGTTAATATGACCACTGGAGATTATATGATTACAGTGAAGAAAGATATGTGTTTTTGAATTCCCAGACTGCTATATTCTGTACTGGTATTTATCAGAGCAGTCTACAACACTTTAGAATATGCAAGGCAGTTATCCAGCGTTTTAAAGATGTAAAGAGAAAGGTACTGGTATGTAAGCATTGTCCATGTCATCTGGATAGGACGGAATATAACGGACATTGCTCCATGTGAGCACAGCCTTTTAAGGCCAAGACTTAAATCTTCTGTGTCCCTGTGTTTTAGATAATATTGCCTTATTTGACGCCAAACCAAGATGAAAATATGGTCCCACGAAGAACATGATATTTCCACTTCATATATTCATCTGTCCAGTCATTCTATTTAAACCAGTAATTGATTGCAAGCTGCAGGAGAATCATCAGTAAAATGAAGACATAGTGCTTGAAGTTAAAGAAGTTATTATCTGGAGTCTGTGAGCTTGAAGTCATTCTGGTTCTTAGAGCTGTGATGTCTCTGCAAAAATGTATGAACAAAAGAGGTGAATTCAAAAGGTTGCTAATTCTGAAATCAGCACCACAGAAATTATTAAAATATCACATACTAAATACATGGCAATTAGATCAGGATTTGTTCCAGGTATTTTAGAAATTCCTACAGTACTGGTTTTCACCAGCATCAGAGGCCACAATTAGAGCCTTGGGATGAAACCCCAAGTTCTAAAAATGGGAGACCAAAGGGGGTGGGGTTCACTTTAGAGCTGGCACAAATATGTGGGCCCAACTTCTACAATCTCCAATAGTGAAATATTTGGAAATTTCTGCTCCAAAGTAACTTTTGCAAAAGCATATATTCAGAATATTCATATATTCAGTAGTAGATCTATCAACTAAAGTTTTAGTTAATCTACCATAATAATAATATAGAAATTTCTGGTAATCCACTTCTTCAATGTGGAAGATTAGACCTAGATATTAACTCTCATGCCATAGACAAAAATGCCTGATAACTATTCTTAAGAACATACGAGATCTTAAGATCAAATGTTGTCTTGTTTTGGCCAAGACAAACACAAGAAACAAAACAGAGGATGAATATTGTGCAGATCTAAAGGATGCACTGAGGCACCTGAGACAAGTACTCCATGAAACAAACATGGAATTTTCCTACTACTGAACAAAACACGGGTAGAGACACAATAAAACTAGTGAATTCCTGGTCCACCCCACAAGTACAAAGAAACTGGCCTCAGAGATTATATTGCGTTCATTTAAGAAACTGGTCATGCCTCACTAAAGAAGTCTGATTTACACCTTTGAGAACTGATGACCTACGAGGATGATTTGATATAATGTATTTATTTAGCAGTTGATTCATGTATAAATAAGTGGCGTTTTTTATTCTGAACAAAGCACTCGCGGTAAAAACAGACAGAAAAACTTTCAAAAATACACACCTTCTAATGTCTTCTTGCGTCTCTCTTATAGATTCAATGGCACTTTGCAGTTCACCAAGGTCTAGTGTCTTCTTTCGGATTCTTGCACTGTGTTTGTGTTGCCCTTCAGAAGTAATTCAAATAATGCAAGATAGGTTAAAGAATGGAAATCTTTAAAGGCGGCAAATGCTTTTAGTTCTCCAAATAAAATCACATAACTTTTCTCTTTTTCTGCCTTTCATAACAGGACAAAAAAACTGTTCCCAATCCTAAAATAAATGCACCGTTTTACAACACAACCTCTTTAGTCTAAAGGAGAATGAAGTAAAGGCATGTAACTACTACTGCATTCTATCCGAAAAGAAAAAAGGATAGTGTGAACTTACCTTCACTACCAGAGGAGTCCTGATTATCAGGTTCTGGCGATGAGAAGCCACTCTCCCCTTTCTTCGATTTTGCAGACCTCTTTATTTTTGCAACACTAACCTGCAATTCATAAGACTTATCTGCTCAGTAACAAGACAGATAATACACTTGCTGTGACAACCTGCTTTGATATTAGAAAGAGGTCAGTCTGTTCATCATTTTGACGAGGCATTGTGCTCTTTAGAGTGGTCTCTGTAAGGCTGGAGGGATTGACTCTGGTTGTTGTGAACGTTGTGGGGTGGAAGAAACATCTGACCATGTTATATGAGACTGTTTGAGGTATATGGAAGAAAGAGAGCCTCTGCTTCATAGAATTTGTGAACTGGGTACTGCTAATCTGTTCTTAAGGGCTGCTCTTTGAGACCAAAACCTCTGGGGCTTGGTGTTGGAGATTCTATGGATGTTTTTGAGAGATACAAGGATTTATAAAAGACTGTAAATGAAGTGAAATAATACTGTTTCCAGTAATTGAACCTTTCCTTTTGGCCTTGCAACACCATTAAACCCAGGAAAAAGGAGAAGAAATGAACAACCAGCTTTCATGTTTGAAATGCAAGGTAGGGATGGGAAGGAGTTATGCTGACTGTCATTTAGCTTCTTCAGTTCTGCTAACAGTGAACTTTCCTTGCTTATCATCAGGTAAGAAGGAAGGATTTCATTAGAGTTTTAATCTCTCCAAGGCAACTGGCCATGAGACAAATATTGGACTCTGCATTCTAAAGGATAATCTGCTGTTTTTTACTTGCCCACTTAATATCATACAAGAGCTTACCATTGGTGTCCGATGTCTGACTTTTGTTTGGATAGCACAATCTTTTTCAAACTGTATCATATCATTCAGTGGATCCCAAGGTCTTGTGCTGTGGGCAACAGAGAATGGACACAGTACAAGTTAAGTAAGTCTATTCAAAAAGAGAAAATAATAATAATCCTGTTTCTTTTCAAAATGCAAGGTACTAGCATTTCATGAAGAAGATCAAGACTGGAATATGCATCTTGCCTGATCTGGAGGGTCACTTCATCTAAAGGAAAGCATTATCTGATATATCTGCATGAAGGATCATATTACCAGTCAAGTATGTAGTATGTGACAAGCTGTTTCAAAATTGTTTGCTAGTATCCCAAGTAGAAAGGGAAAGCAAACCAAAACTTACTCTGCGTATCTGTAGTTCCATTCCCCTGTGAGTGGATCTGGCTCAAACAGTTTGCATACCCACTCTTCATCTGCAAGTTTCCTTTCTTTGGCAGCCTTTCTCTGTGCTTCTTCAAGAATACATTTCTCCTGAGTTGCTTCTGATTGGTCTTTGTTATTTATAGCTCGGGTCACATGTTGCCAAAGTCTAGCACATACAAGTAATACAACTGTTAAGGATCAGACACTGGTCCAGATATATTCATTGCAAGTTTATTTCTGCTGTATCATCTGAACAAAACTTACAATTACCACATAAGCTTGATTTCAATTTGTTACCTATTTTAGAAATTATTTCTCCAATTTACTCCAACTCAAGTTCCTGTATTTTTTGCTGTACTATGTTTTTCACCCTCCACCCTTCCTGCTTCCAGCCATTAGCTGCATGATGCTTGCTATGTATTAATCTATAAGAAAACAGGTTTAATATGAACTTACTTCTCTGACTCAAAGTCACCTTGCTCCTCAAACTTCACTGTGTATCTTCTTAATCTGCGCTGTCTGATCTCAGGTGTTGGATTCCAGAATGTCTCTGAAACATCTGTCTTTTTGTCCCTAATAATAACTTCACTGTCCTGTAATGTTTAACATATTAGATTACTTTGTAGTCAAAGAGTAAACAATCTTACAAAGTCAATAAGAACAAAGACTTCCCTCAGAAAGTCACTTTTTGCAACCATGAGGTTTGTTCTGCCAGTTTGGCATACGTGGTTGGGGACAATTTAAAGTCAAATCTGAAAATAGATCTCTTATTTCAGCAAGAGGAACTTGATTTAAGGGAACCTGATTTACTTTCAGTCAGGTTTTGACCTCAGATGCAGTACTTCTGCAAAACTTTTTGCTACCAATGGAATCTAGAAAACAAAGAATCTGAAGTGGAAGTTCAAATTCTTGAAAGGCCTCTGAAAAGTTACAATAAATATTTGATCAGAACGGCAATTAGGGTAATCAAAGGGGGATTGGAGGGGGGAATGTGCTATTCTTAACAGCATTATGTACCAATAATTCAATGAATGTAAGAGAAATTTTAAAGGGCTACCCAACAATTGAAAATAAACATGCTACTCACCCAGTGGCCTTCCAGAGTAGCTAGCACTTCTTTTCCAAGCTTAATTTTCCCCATTATCTGATTAACACTGTCATTGCTGCCCAAAAATGGCTATTAAAGAAAAAAGATTAGATGCTTGATAATGCTGTGTAGAACTTTATAAGATAATGTCTCAGTTAACACATTGCATTATGCCAATATTTTAAAACAAATGATGGGATTAACGTAAAAGTTCCCATAGTGCTCCTTCCTTACACCTATTGTGCTGCAGATGAAGTAAGCCAAAGGGAGGCTTGCCATGTCTTCTGACCCAGGCACGTGGTTTGTTTATTCCCAAATCATGAGTGGAAACCAATATTTGTTCTACTGCTTGTGGTTTGTTTGGTGAGAAACCAAAAGCTCATGTTCAGAGGACACAACAAGTCAGATTCTGGCATGTTTGGTCTGCAGAAAATGACAGCAGTAGGAGAGAAGTTCTTTGGGAACTTCTGAGCAGTGTGCACCAGCATGCTGCTCATTCACATCAATGTACTGTTTATTTAAAGTAGGGTTTTGTGTGACAAGCAAATTAGGCTACTAAAAGCTGCTAAGAGGTTTCTGAAATGTCAGCCTAATGTATTTCAAAGATAATGTCTGTCATCATTCCCCCAGAACTAAGTAGAATCAAATACTGAACTCTTCTTCCATTCCTTGAGAGATATCCGAAGAAAATTATCCACAAAGAAAAATTATGCTGGAAGTGCACAGAACACATCATGACTAGAGCAACTAATAACTATGGCACTATATCTGAGCTACAGAAGTATTAAATTTACTACTTTATTTTTATTAAATTTACTACTTTATTTTTATCCTGACTCGGCCCCAGACACACTGACCAGATGTTTGGAAGCTGTGGCTGGATGGTTACGTGGGAGCCGGTTGAAGCTAAATCCTTCGAAGACAGAGGTCCTCTGGCTGGGACGGGACGATATGGGATTGGGGGGGGCAACTCCCATCTCTTGCGGTCGCAATTAGTGCCAGCACCGACCGTTAAGAGTTTGGGTGGAATCTTCGACACCTCCCTTTCCATGGAGCCGCAGATTGCAGCTACAACAAAGGCGGCATTTTCCACCTCCGCCAAGCTAAGCAGTTGGCTCCTTACCTCTCTCGCCCTGACCTAGCCACTGTGATCCACGCGACGGTCACCTCCAGACTGGATTATTGTAACTCGCTCTACGTGCGGCTGCCCTTGAGACTGACCCAGAAACTCCAGCGGGTGCAGAATGCTGCAGCGAGACTCCTTACGGGGTCTTCGCTACGAGATCACATTCACCCGGTGCTATACCAGCTGCACTGGCTCCCGGTGGAGTACAGGATCAGGTTTAAGGTGCTGGTTTTAACTTTAAAGCCCTATACGGCCTAGGACCCTCGTACCTACGGGACCGCCTCTCCTGGTATGCCCCACAGAGAAACTTACGGTCTTCAAATAAAAACATCTTGAAGGTCCCAGGCCACAGAGAAGTTAGGCTGGCCTCAACCAGAGCCAGGGCTTTTTCGGCCGTGGCTCCAATCTGGTGGAACACTCTGTCACAAGAGACCAGGGCCCTGCGGGACTTGACATCTTTCCGCAGGGCCTGCAAGACAGAGCTGTTCCACCAGGCTTTGGCCAGGGCACAGCCTGACTCCCTCCCTCGGCAATCTTCGCGGAGCTCTGGCCCAATGGTTGCCAGTGGCTTGAATTAATTAATTTTATAATGAATGATTTTAGAGTGTTGTTTGTGCTGTACTTTTGTACTGTTTTATTGTTGTTAGCCGCCCTGAGCCCGGCTTCGGCTGGGGAGGGCGGGATATAAATAAAAAATTTTATTATTATTTATTATTTAAATCAGTGCTGGGGGGAATCTATGGCCTCTGGATGCTGTTGGACTACGATTCCCATAATCCCTAGTGTCCAACACCATTTGGGAGGCAGCAGGTTCCCCATCTCTGGTTAAAATGAATGGATTAATATAAAAGTCTTGTTTTTCTGCATAGTTTCTAAATAAATGTTATGAACTATTCTACTGATTAATAAATACAGCTAACTTTGGGTCAGATATTTTTTTAAAAAACAGAGTGATTTTTTTGTCCAAAACTGTAATATGCTTAAGGTTGTGCTGTTTACTGAGAAATACGTCTCACTGAGTTCAATAGGTAAGTGTGAAAAGAATTACAAGGTACTGGAGGGTTTATTATGATGATTATCACCATCACCACTAATATTCAAAGGTTGCTTCCAGCATTTCAAAAATAAACTAGGCCAATAAAAGAGGTCTCATTTCCTCTGCAGAACCAAAAGAATGAATGCACTACTCTGTATTTTCTAACGCTAAATCCTCTTGTGCCCATAAACAGGTTTAACTAACCTTTAGCTTGAATTCAAGTGCTGCACTGTATCCAGTTTTTTCACATGTGATGCTAACAGTTCCTCCAAGCTCTAAAGTCATTGTGCCATACAGAATTCCTGTTAAGAAAGAACTCATTTTAATTCTAATTCTGTTACAAAGTTACCTCCATTTTGTACTTCCATTTCTACCTACAGTATAATGAAAGATGGTATATTAAAGCCCATGCCTTTTGTTACATTCCAAGAAGAATTAACTGATGGCAAGATGAATAACAAGAGGAAAAATTCACCAATATGGCTAATCCTTTTCTTTAAAAAGCCACTGTCTATCAAAGGCTCATAAGCCCTCAAACAAGAAACAAAGTCAGCAGAAATCTTCAGCTGGTTAAATTCAAAAATACTAAAATCCTCACCGGAAGACATTACTTATTGGAAGTAATTATTTAGAAAACATTATTTATTCTACTGCTTTATCTTCACTGCAGAAATTCAAATTGTTTTTAAGTTCAAATATGCATAACTACTGTGTGATAACCAACAGCACCATATACGGAGTAACTCTGCTGATTTTAATGAGTCTGCTTTGAGTGTGACCAATGTTTGCTATCATTCACTGTATGTAGCACTGTGTCCTTCATTGTCCTGTTCTTAGGTATACAGAGAATGTCCTTCAAATGTCCCAGCGCTGTGCAAAGCTCAGTATGACCTACAGCTATCAATTTCTCTCCCCTTGCAGACTCACAACCCTAATCTTCTTTTAGAAATGATGCAAACTATCTGGACTGTTTTTTCACAGAGAGGGCTCACTTTTGCATTGAGTAGGAGGGTTTTAGCATATTTTAAGTTCCATCTATCATGTATACCCCATTATTCAATCTTACATGAAATAAAGAACACCGCTGAATGAAGAAGTGGCCTTTGTGCAGCACAACTAAATATTTATTGAAGGATTTTTGCAGACAGAATGTGTCTGCCAAATTAGGGAAGGACCAAATTCCCACAAAAACAAATGATTTTTTGTGTGAAAATTGGGTCATACTCTAGTCCATGATTTCTCACGGGCCAAAACAAGCAACAGTTATTTTTTAGCAATCATTTTTCTCCCTGAGTTATGGTTATGAGGAAACGAAGAAACAGTAGTCATTTCTTCTCCAGTTTCTTCACTTAATCACACCTCCATACAAGTCGGCCCAGACTTTGTCTCATTCTCAAGCTATCTGTGCTTGCCAGAAGGCAGGGAAAGCACTTGTAACAAGAATGGATAGTAAGTAGGTTGGATTGGCCAAACTGGTATTTTTACCTTTACAATGTGCATATGGCATGGTCATTACATATTCCTCTCCTCTGTTTAGGAACAGCAGCCGTCCTTCACCATCCAGAATGGCAGATAATGAATTTCCTGAAAAACAATAAAATGTTAAGATTCAAAGAAGCACATCCAGAGAGTGTACAGAAGATTTACAAGACTAAATAGTGTCGTCACAGAAAATTCTGTAGACTAATATTAATTTAAAAGAACTATGGCACTCTTTTTTGTGGAGAGAAAGCTATTTCAATTCAATTTTATCACTGCATTCATCAAATTATTATTATTTAACACACTTTCATCATCAAAAATAGGCACATTTTTGTAGACACTTAAAAAAATAACCCAATATCTTACCATAAAATTTGGATTTGGCCAAGATATTACCACTAAGGCAAAATCCATCCTTTCGATTGCTTACATAGAAGGCAGATATTGGAGGATGATGAGATACCTGTTGAAAGCAACATAATTCAATATAAGCAGGTGAGTTGCTGTGAAAATCTGTGGCAACAAGCAAAGGGTGCAGAAGAATTATAATTTGGAATCCTATTCACTAAGCAAGTGGATGTAATTCACCAAATATGCAGCTACACACCAAGTATTATTGAAGATACGTGTGCAAAAACATGACATCAACATAATTAAACTAATGAACTACCCAGAAACCTGCAGTAGTTATGACTGCTGATAATTGGCTGATTGTTAAAGAGAAAGTAATAGTTACAAGTGAGTTGAACTGAGATACACATGCACAAATCTCACTATTGCATTTCAGGCACCAGTTTTACTACTAGACAGAGCCACCATCTTTTCTTAACAATTACTTATTATTTTGCCCTTAAATTAGCATTCCACTCAAACTCTACTCTGTTGTGGAGAACCCATCAAACTTGAGATACTCAAACATATATCCCAAAAGAATATTTACACATGGGCTAGAAAATTTGAGAACTGTAACATTTTATTCTTAATTAAGGTGGGAAGTACAAACAAGTCGTATCCAAATATAGAGAACCGTTCTCAAACTTCACAAGTCAGTTCTCGTGAGTTGATTGTGCATGTCCTACATACAGACACATTATCACCACAACGCTTGCCTTCAGATTATCAAACTTTGTGAAACAAGTTTACAGGTTTCGAAACATCACCTAGCGTATCAGAAAGAACCTCAAATTTTGTCAGAATTCCCAGCTCCATGATTGCAGTCATGGGATTTTTGTCTTTCACATGACGGTATATGTTTTGACTCCACAGAGTGGGAAGTGATGGAGACAGGATGTTTGTGTATTGTGTTCCGTGAAGTGGGACTAATGTCCTTTGTTTTTCCTCTTTGCTGTCTGATGCCAGAGAGAGAGGGAGCCGTGCAGTGTTCCGTGTGTGTTTATATGTAAATAAAGTAGATTAGCCAACATGCTGAGTTGCTGAGGTCTGTCACATGCAGGATGCACAAACTCTGCGGATCCCTAAGTGTGCCGGTTGGCATCGGTTGCTGTGATGTTCGGGCAGAAGAAAGCTTTTGAAGCTCCCGAACAATCGACCAGGAGGGAGGGAACATGCCAGTCGGGCATGTTCTCTGCCAGGGTCCTACTCAAGTGTAGGCTGAACTCCTGACAAAGGCTTGGCATAACATTGACTGAGAGATTCCTGCTGACATTTGAAGGAGATATCCACAGTGTCACATGGAGTATTTTGGAATCAATGCCATCAGCAATGGAATCTGTCTAATCTGTGAAGATTCTTTTGGAAAATATGTTTGATGTATATCCCAAGTCTGATGGCTCTTCTACCATAAAAATTGTAGTCCTGTACACCATTGTATGAAAGATTTATACAATCTGAAGAAAAACCAATCACTTGTACTTTTGGTGTTTCCTTCAACATAAGAAAGAGCCCTAGGCCTAAAATAGTAAGAACCATAATCTACCTGATATCCCTAAAACAGGAAAGGAAAGAAGGAAAAATGAAACATGCTAAAATAGAAGTGTTTTGGTTCTATTATGCCAAGCTCTCCTCTGGTCATCTTCATTTATTTGATGACACTGTAAAGAAATACAAAACGTGAAGAAATGCTGGTAGTTATTAAAAAACCATGTTTGTTACATCTTTGGTAATACCTGTTCAGCTATATAATAAGTCTTGCTATTTGTTCTTGGATGAACCCACAAACAACGGAAGGTCTCACCGAGGATAGGGTTGTAGGGTTTTTTAAGTCCCTGAAAAGAGAGACAATTTTTGCTAAGAAAATACATTCCAACTGAAAAAAGACGGGCCTAATAGTTTTCAGTTCGTAAGTATTTAAAGGAAAGCCCTATGGTGACATGCTCTCTCAGGATAAGCTATGGTAAATTTCATATTTGTAGGGCATATAGAGGCACAGCAACTATGGAAATGTATTTCTGTGACTCACATTACATTTTATTAAACCACTCCAGTAGTCAAATCACTAGACAACATTGCCTGCCAACTTTGCACTGTAGGACGCGGGTGGCCCTGTGGGTTAAACCACAGAGCCTAGGACTTGCTGGTCAGAAGGTCGGCGGTTCGAATCCCTGTGACGGGGTGAGCTCCCGTTGCTCGGTCCCTGCTCCTGCCAACCTAGCAGTTCAAAAGTACGTCAAAGTGCGAGTAGATAAATAGGTACCGCTCTGGCAGGAAGGTAAACGGCGTTTCCGTGCAGTGCTCTGGTTCGCCAGAAGCGGCTTAGTCATGCTGGCCACATGACCCGGAAGCTGTACGCCGGCCAATAAAGCGAGATGAGCGCTGCAACCCCAGAGTTGGTCACGACCGGACCTAATGGTCAGGGGTCCCTTTACCCTTACCACAGTGCTCACATCAAAAGCAGAAGGGGCAGCACTGTGTGTTTATTTGACCACATACTAGTTAAGTATTTGACTGACTGCATTTTTAATCCACATTTCCTCCAAGGAGCTCGAAGTGGTGTGCATGGTTCTCCCTCTCCCCATATTATTATCACAACATCCCTGTGAGGTAGATTAGGCTGAGACACTGTGGCTGGCCCAAGGTCACCAGTGAGCTTCATGGCATGTCTTTCACAGGGACCTTTGCCATAGCTGCTATTTGGTGTCTGAGGAGTCAGTCAACCAGACACAGAGATGACTGATTACGTGTGTTTAGGGAGAAAAAATAATGTGTAAAAAGTATGCCTTTCTTAACATAGAGGACTATATGTACTGATTGCTGTGTATTAGTTGTGCTAGCAGAATGGTTTGCGCAGGAGGATAGAAAACCAGGATGGTTCTCACAGGTAGTTGTGCAACAGACTGCTGAAGCCCTGATACTTTCTGATGTACAACTTGCTGCACAACAAGCTACTGCTAACACAACTATTGTGCTAGATTTTACACTGCACAACCATTATTCTCACCCTTAAGCTCCCACAACAGCTGTCACTATTTTGGGGCTGAGGGTAAAACTGATCAATGGCCCACCCTCCAGAAGCCACATGGTATAGTGAGCATGGTCATGGCCCAAAGTGTTCATGGTCACAGAAGACCTTTATAATTAAATTAAATTAAATTAAATTAATTTAAATTACAATTTTAATTCAGGAAGGTGAAGTGGCAGAAAAGAGCCCTCTTTAACCCACCCTGCCAGCTACAGATATAACCAACAAACACCATGATTAAAGCCACCACCCTACCATCCTACAGGCTTATTATACTAGTATCCAGAAATATCCTACATGAGTATATAGACAAATTTTGATCTGCACCAAAGTGTATGGGGGTGGGGGCAAGGAAAAAGAGTGAAAGGGGAAGGGATTAGCTACCACAAAAAGTGTTCGGAAAGTGTTACCTTTGGCTTTTTGTAGAATCCTGACAAATACCATTTCACAACTTGTTTCATACGATTGTAAGCATTCTCTTCAAGGGCAGCTCTAGAAAACAAGATTTGTTAGGCAAATTTAAGTACTTTTTTGGACACAGTCTTTATTTTAATTAAATAACAATGTACAATAAAATTTCAAAACTATTAATATGTGGATAGAGTAAAAAGCAGATCTTGTCTGTAGACAATAAAGAACAGTGTACAAAAATATGAATAAGAACTAATTCAAATGCAAGATGGAAATACAATTAAAGCCAGTAAATATATATAAGAAGGCAGAAGACAAAACAAGTTAAAACTAAAAAAAAATCTCCTGTACAAACTAGAAATAATAACACCGCTAAAATGCCTGAGCAAATAAGAAAGCCTTCTCAAAACACTGAAAAACTTGCTGTGTGAAGTTCTTTAGAAAGAAATTCTAAAGTCGGGGCAAAGTCTAAAGCATAAAAGGCCCTCTACCTTGTAAAAAAAAAAAAAGTAAAAAAAAAAAAGTAGAGACATCACCTTGCCAAGAAAGGTCCGTATAGTAAAAGCTATGGTTTTCCCAGTAGTTATGTATGGAAGAGACAGCTGGACCATAAAGTAGGCTGATCGCCAAAGAATTGATGCTTTTGAATTATGGTGCTGGAGGAGACTCTTGAGAGTCCCATGGACTGCAAGAAGATCAAACCTATCCATTCTGAAGGAAATCAGCCCTGAGTGCTCACTGGAAGGACAGATCGCGAAGTTGAGGATCCAATACTTTGGCCACCTCATGAGAAGAGAAGACTCTCTGGAAAAGACCCTGATGTTGGGAAAGATGGAGGGCACAAGGAGAAGGGGACGACAGAGGACGAGATGGTTGGATAGTGTTCTCGAAGCTACCAGCATGAGTTTGACCAAACTGCGGAGGCAGTGGAAGACAGGCGTGCCTGGCGTGCTCTGGTCCATGGGGTCACGAAGAGTCGGACACGACTAAACGACTAAACAACAACAACACCTTGTAAAAACCATAACGAACCCCTAACTAAAGGCAGTACTTGGATCAGCACCTTTCTTGGTGCTCTCAAGACATGGACAGGTTGGTGTGGGAACAGACACTCCCTCAGGTACATGAATCCCAAGGTGCTTAGGACTTTAAAGGTAAGCCCCACAAAAGATGGGAAAATTCCAGGGGCATTAGTATGATTTATTGCAGGCCTGACATGTTTTACAACTTATTAAGAAAGCAATGTTAAAAAAATGCTTCTGAAAACAAAATACTGAGCGGATACATCAAGTTAGTTTTTATTGTAGAGGAATGAAATCAACTCACTCAGATAAGAAGTCTGCATGATAGTAGTAATCAGAGAGTTTATCCAAGAAAGAACGAGTTTCCAAAATAAACGTGGGCAGCACCACCTTGGAGAGGTCCATTCCTGGGCGTACTTGTTTTAGTAATGTCCATATCAAGCTTTTGTTCTCTTCTGATACTGTTTCTGTTTGGGAAGCTTCTCCTGCCTTCAACAACAACAAAGCAGAATAGAACATAAACATGATACTAATTGAAAGAGCACATTTGCAGAAAGTATTTGGTTTCAGTCACTGTGGTTCAAAACTGCCAATGCCTTCTCTATGACGTGGGGTGAATTCATATTTATTTTGCATTGGTCAGAGCCCATGTTTGTTAGTAAACTTGCTTTACCCACCCATCAAAAATACATAATGCTGCAAAGGACAACTTAAGAGAAAGCACTCCAATTGACTCAACTTTGGGCAATTTATTCCTAAGCAGTTTTGTTTTTTTAAATTAAAACCCGGAGCCTGCAACCCTGAATGAGCAAGGGCCAAAATATAACATGTGAAGCAATTCACATGCTGCACTTGGGAAACGTGAACTATTTTTTAAAAAACACCGAACAGCTATTTATCAAACCAAGGCTAGATAACGTGCAACACACTACAACTTCCAACTCAACCATGAGATTCAAAATTTCTGTTTTACCTTGATTAATGCCCTTGGGCATGTCTTCGCTGCTCTTATCAGCTGTCAATCTAGAATAATCTCTGTTTACCTTTGGGTCGGCTCAGGTGAATGGCTGGCTCTTAGTGTTTTGATTTGTCAAGTTATTTCTAAATCTGCATCAATTTTAGCCAGCCATAGTCCCTTGGCCAAATCCTACCAGTTTCTTTTGCTTTTTATGGTGGCCTCTTATGCTTAGATATGCTTTAAAAATTAAGCAACCAAAGCAATTAATCTACCAATGGTCTGAAAATTGAGCTACAGCTAGAGGGACATTAGACAAGAAAGTGCGTGTTAAAAAGGCAAAGGAAACCATTTTGCAATTCAAATGTTGCCAAACTGACTGCCTTTCCAAGGTACAATTTTAGTTTCAAAACCTTAAAACCAAAACATTACTACTGCATAAAAACACTTTTTTTTTTAACCTCTCCAAGCTCTTCATGAACTTCTTCCAAATACGTTGTTTCCTTGATATGATCAGGTTCAGGGTCAATGTATGAGTCATCCTGCCGCTCAGATGTGTCAGTGTCACTTTCTCCCAAGCCATCATTATCCGATTCATCGCGATCATGATCATTTTCCCTATCTGATTTATCAGAATACAGATCTGGATCTTTGAAGTGATGCCTTTCCATTTCACTATCATTTAGCCTAAAAAAAGAAGAGATAGGTTTCAATCCTTTATACAATTTAGCAACTCAACTCAACTTATGGCTTTTGAGTGGTCAGTTCAGTAAACATTAGGCACAATAAAGTCAAATTTAAGCACTTTTCAGTCTCACTTAATGGAAAAATTAAAAGCATATTTAAATGAGTGGGACATAGGAACACTTACATCTGGCTGGGATCTATCCTAAGTTTTAATTTATGCAACTTCAATTCCTAACCTTTTTCATATGGTTTTACCTCTGTTTATACTATAGCACCAATACTTTATCACTAACCAAGTAACTATGCTTATAAAAAGAACTGCAATTACTACAGCTTAGACTGCAATTGTATGTTTTTCCTTAGGTTTTATAACAGACCTTACCCCATAGACTCAGAGAAACAATCCACACTTTCCATTTTAGCTGTTTAAAATACATTTACACATACATAGGTAGTGATCAAATTAAGAATGTACTAAGCTTGCCAATTAAAATTGTAGATAACATTTTAGTATTAAAATATATGGCTTTTCTTGCAAAATACATCAATATGAGTTAATACAGAAATGTTTGTACAGCTACAACACTGTAATTAAAGAAATCATTGCAATAATTTATCTTTGAATTGAGTGCTACAGTCACAGTGTGGGGTCTTTTAGCAGTTCAAGCCACTGGTAAGTACCAGCATTGTGACTCACAGCTAACTCAACCAATCACCACTCTGTAGTTTGTTGCTCCTGCAGTTGTATTGAGTGACTGAAACATAACAAGTGAGCTGAAGAGAAGTAGTAGGTGTGTGGCAACAGTTTCTATTTGTAGCTGTTTCATAACTTCTGGCAAAACAATGGCAAACCAGTTCCATTTCATAATGAATGTATACTACAGGCGCAAGCCCTATTCCAGAACTGGTGGTTCTTAGCTATTTAAATGTGTTTGGGAGGGAGAAGATTACAGGCAGCTCCCCATTTATGTGTGTTCAATATGTGTGCAACTGTGTATCTGGAAGTGACCAGGAAACCTCATAAAGACATCACTGAAATGTCACTAAAAAAGCAGAGAGGGGGCAGAATGGGGTGTTTGTAGGCTTTTCCAATGGCTTTCAAATATACACGATTTCACCAACATGTGTGATGCCTCGGAACGTTACCCCCGCGTAAACTGGGGGCTACCTGTATAGCCTCAAGGTATGGTAGATATGGTCGGGAAATTCCATTTCCCAGGTCCCCCTACAAATCAGCTCTATAATATTGATAATTGTTTTGTTCCTACAGGAACTTTTCTTTTTTTAAGGAAAACATTATTGTGTTAGCAGGGAACAATAAAAAAGAATTGTAACATTGATGAAGGGTGCAGGGCCGGAGGCGGCTTTTAAGTCATTTATTTGCCATTTACCTTGTCTACAGGGACCCTCTAGCAGTGTTAGAAACCGAGATATGGAAGCACCTTAAACCTAGCTTATGGGCACAATAATGGAATGTCTAGACACAATTTTTTTAATAACAATATAAAGCTGAAAATGAATGAACTGCAGCTAAAATATTATGTTCATATTTCACATGGTCTAGTCCATCCCCTGCCCCTAATATTCTTAAGATGGTCTCTTCTCCAGTCTTCAGAGAGTAGCTGGAAGTGGAGAGGCAGGAAAAGGTCCTCCTTTCCTTTCACTCTGCAGTTTTAATCCGAAATCTTAGGTGCAGTACTGCACCCAGAGCTCAGAAACTGCTTGTGCATTAATGAACTTCCCCATTACGAAATGTGCCCAGAATAACGGGAGTTTCGAACACTGCCCTCTAGGATAGGTCTCCACCAGCCTATGAGAAGAATATGAGGCGGGTGGTATAAAAGAAAAAGGGAAGGATGAAAACGTCTCTTCCCTGCATCTTATGTCCTTCCACAACCATAAACTAGCACATATATGAACACAATTGCATCCTTAAGCATATCTGTACTCAACAGGTTAACATGTGAATATATAAAGAAAATAAAAAGTTACTTTTAGATACCATTATTTTCATACCATGTGCCTTTTGTGTGCTTATTTAAAAATTCTAGTGATATTTTCAGTAAGTATAGCAAGCAGCAGTTTTGCCAAGACAGTGAAAAAAGTAACCAATAAAAGGACCAATAAAAGAAAACATTGGAAAACTATTTAAACGACAGTAAGAATTTAACCTTGGAACAGGATTCATGACCCCCCACCCCCACCACAATAAAGGTTATACATCTGAACAACTTACGGGAAGCTTTCACTACTATGCACGTTGTTTGCACGTAGCAGACCATAGAAAGACACGTGTGCACCATCTGTTAAGGTCACTTCATGTTCTTTACCTTCTCTAATCATTGTGCGCTTGAGCAAACCTGAACACTTCAAAGCCAGCTCCAATGCATCCATCCAACACCTACCTAAAAATACATATTTTTGGTTAGTATAATACCCCGTGTTACTGAGTTCACCATTTGAACTGTATACTAGATCTGCATTTCATTTGGATGTACCTCTAAAGCACAGAACTAGGATTTTATATCTGACCTCTTAAGACCAGAAATGATTATCTGTGCTCTTTCAACACATAGCCAGATTCCAACTATATTTTTGGTTAAGTCTCATTTACTTCAATAGGACATGTTTTTATTCACGTATGCTTGGGACTGCAGCACTAGTAGCTTCTGATATACTGAGGGGGGGGGGGAGGCACTGCACTTCGGTCTACATCCAAAAAAGTCTTCCCCTGTTAGCACAAGGAGTTCCTCTCCCTCTTCTCTTTCTGCACATCCCCCCAATCTGTTCTCAAGGTTCCCCTCCCCCCCAAAAAACCCTATGGAGCAGAGGCGGGGAAGAGGAAGTCTCATTGTACAGGCAGGAGTCTGAATATATAGCCACAGAATCAATGAGTCATGTACATTGGACCAGCTGTGCCTTATTAAGTCTTATAAGCCTGAAGTCTTCTGCAGGGAAGCTGTACCTATATTGCACTATCTTTGTATTACCAAGCTCTGGTTTTCATATTTTTTAATCCACATTTATCCTACTGTGAATATTTTGAGAAAAAGAAATCTGGGGACAAAAAACATCTGGGCTACACATGGTGTTGCTGGTAAAAAAATATTTCCTGAAACTGTTTAATCACATTAGGATATACTGTATTGCCTTCACAGAAAATGTTATTGACAGAATGTGCTTTTATTTACCATCTGATTCTGAAGCTGCTCGGATGATCAAGTAGCTGCTGGGTAATGGTTGTGTTATGGATCCAACAGCTTCACCTTTAGGACCCTTAAAATACAAACAATATAGATGCAAGAGTTTTAGATTAATTTGAAGGCACAATTTTAATGAAATATCAAGGATTCTCTGTCAATCAGCAATTGCTATTGCAATAACTCTATGTGACCAATGGTCATACTTCACTGGAATCTGCTCTTCAGATTAATTTAAAAAATATCCATATTTTGGATCCCCCTCCTCTTAAAAGATCTTTAAAACTAAAATTTCCAGGTGCTTCTCCCACTCACTCCTGTATTATTATTTTTTTAAGAAAAAAACATTGTAGAGGCCAAAATATTGGTGGCATTAAAAACTCTGATTACTCATTCATGTTGGGGTGGGAAGCAAGAAGGAAATGACAGCAAGAATACATTTAAGTAGAACATGCAGCTGGCAAAGAAGAAAGGCACAGCCAACACCATCTGTACGCTTCCTTTCTTCAATCACTGTTGAGAAATTGGAAGGTAGCTCAGCTACAAGAAAAACGTCACACATTTCGGTCTGGAGAGTTGGAATGATCCTCATTTGAAGCTCATGGACTCCCAAATGTGTGTAGATAAACAGGAGGGGGTGGACAGAGGACACGACAACTTAGCACATAAGAAGAGTCTAATAGATCAGGTCAATGGCCATCTAATCCAGTATCCTGTTCTCAAAGTGGTAATCCAGCTGCCTGTGGGGAGCACACAGGCAGGACCTGAGCTTGCCCCACCTGCGACTCCCAACAACTGCTGCGTCTGGCAGTGGAGGTGGAACACAGCCATCATGGCCAGTAGCTGTTGACAGCCTTCTCCTCAATTTATTTATTTAATCTTCATTAAAAACCATCTAAATTGATGACCATCACTTCCTCCTGTAGAAGCGAGTTCCATAGTTAACGATACGCTGTGTGAAGAAGTCACAACCTTTCCTCATAAGGGAGCTGCCCCATCCAACTGCCCAGACATTTTGGTTGGGCTTACTGGTTAGTATCCAGAATATTCAGTAGCAGAGCCAAAAGGCATAGAAGTTATACTGCCTTGTGTATCAAGAGATCCAAACATCATTAAGTATAATTATGGATTCTCACAAGAGATCCATCCACAAATGGATTGGGCCCTTTTTGGTTATCTTGGGGATGGAGGTACATGTAATTCAGGTGATGCCTTTGTTCCTAATATCCAGGGCTGATTTCTGCTGCTAACCCATTTTTAAGTGGACTCTAGGTGGGGTATGGAGGCACTTTGTCCTCTCCAGGTGCAATCTTCTATCCTCCTGTTGGATCCACCCTATCTTATATAATCTCTTGGTAAGCCCAGTAAGTTTACAATGTAATATTAAGTAAAACAATACAAATATACATAAGACCAATAAAAAGTAACAAACAGGAACTTAAAACAGCAAAGTAAAAATGTGGCAATTTTTGATGTTTTAAAAGAGAATCTTCCCAATACGATTTTAAAGCACAAATCATTAAAAAGCCTGAGAGAATGAAAAAATATTATCCTAATGCCTACAAGATAATAAAATAGGTACCATTAGGGATTCAGGCGCTGTTACACAGCATTACTGTGCACATTTTGTATGGGCAAAGATTATGATTAGTGGCTGCTTTCACAATAAAGACCACACAGGATTATGCAGAGGGCCAATACTTCTCCAATGCAACCACACTGCTCAGGGCTTTGGTATGTCAGAAAATCAAGCAAATTTAGCAAAGGGATAGCTGAGCTGACAACTGAAAGCACACTGAGATCATTAATATTTAAGAATGCAGATAGGTTTAATGTGTCATTGGTGTAATGTTCTATTCAACGCCACCTGCATTAAGAATACATATTCACTTACCTTAACAGCCCAGATGGATTGCTCCAAAGGATGGAAAAGTTTGAAACAAAATCCATCCTTTTTTGAAGGCCGCTCAATGAGTTCACAAGCGTTCAGAAGTACTGTTCCCACCCACTGGCCGTTTTTGGGAGTTTTGTAAATAAGCAGTACTCCAGGTTTCAACACACACCAAAGTTTGGTCCAGCTTTTCAGTGTACCTCGAATCTTAACAGAAAAAAGAGACTTTTAATTGTAAGTACATTTTAAGTACATTTCAGTCCCAATCCCTCCTGGCCAAGCAGTAAGACCCTTCTTACAATATACACAACCAGTTCAGAATTGCAAAATGAAGAAGAGTTATTCAAATCTCACACAAATACTTATAGGCACAACACATCTTAATGTTTGTATACTGGTAATTGAGTGTAACTAGTAAATCAAATTACCAAAGGATATCAACTGCACCATGCAGACAGTATTCCTTTAAAATGAAAACTAATTTACTATGTCAGACGTTATTTTACATATGTAAATAAATACAGAAACTTGGGATGATTCCCATGCCTGCAGAATATGTCTCAACTGACACCAGTAGAACCTACTGGTTAGGGAATGTACTTGAAATATGAAATGCAAGTTCAAATCCCTAATCAGAAACGAAGATCACTTTGTAGCCTTGAACAAATCACACTCTCTCAACCTAATTTAACTTTCATGGGTTTGTGAGGATAAAACATTGCCTTTGAGAAGAGCAGGATACAAATGTAATCAATCAATGAAAAAAAGTAGTATGTTAACAGCCCTTACACTTTAGCCAATACAGGAAAACAAGGTACAAACAACAAGTTCAGGTGGAATATTTTATTGATCAGCAGAAGTAATTTAATTCTCCTGTGACGTGCAAGAAACACACTGACATTAAGCAGCTTAGATTATTTGATACCCATGCTACTTTTACGTCCTCTTCCTGGAGCTATTCATATCATCATTGAAATTCACACATTTGAAACTCCCAGAGCTTTAGGCTATCATGTATGAAATGTGGCTTGGTGAGTCTGCAAGAAGGAATCTGTTTTAAAGTAACAGTTTCCTGTTTCCAGAGGAATCACTCATAATTCACATTGTATTGAATATAAAGTGATCACCAATTCAATTAGTCACTGCAGACAGATGTAGCCATGGCAACCACTGTAAAGCAGTGGCAAGGTGTCCCCGTTGGTTCCCTATGCATCAAGTACTGAGCCTCTGGGATATAATTAATGGAGTTTTTCCTAGTGGTAAACATCAATCAGCAACCAACTAGGATCTGAATTCTTTTACATTCTGAGAAATAAACAACAGCTACAACTTTCACTCAATATTATACATAATTCCTGACCTTCAGCCAGTCAGCCATAACAATGACTGATGGGTCTGTGATTGTGCTAAGTAGTTCTTTTGTGGCTCTTTTCTTCTCTTCCCTGTAATTTTTCTTTTGAACCTGTAAATAATGAACGAACAATAAATTCAGAGGGTAAGAAATTTAAGAAAATGGAAGTCGTGGAGCCATAAATGCAAAGGTCAAAACAAACTGCAACATGCTTAGTTCAATCCATAGTAGTATGAAGAAAACGAAACAGTTTTAGGACAGCTGTTTATCTATCAGAAGAAGTGGCATTACATAATATTGCCTTCAAACCAATTTCATATAAAGCAGGAATGGGGAACCTGAGACCCTTCAGATATTAACTCCCATCAGCCCCCATCAGCCCCAGCCAGCATGGCCAGTGGTCAGGGATGATGGGAGTTCAGCAACATCTGGAGACTTGAAGTAGGGGTGGGTTATGATATATTGATATTTTGTCTCTTACTGCTATGAACTCCAGACCGCAAAAAATGTTTCATATTTTTTTACCCTATAATATATTGAGAATGCACTGCCCAGCTTGCAGGCAGGAAGCAACACTTTACTGCAAAGTAAATGGCCAGGTTTTTCGCCTGCCCAATTTGCAAGGCATAAGCCCATGCCGCCTCCCAGCTGGCGTTGCAGAGTAAAAGGCTTTACTTTGAAGTAAAAGCTGCTTTCTGCCTGCACAATCTGTAAGGCGCAAGACAGACCCAGCATAGCAATAAGCTTCCCTGCCAAGGCAGGGAGATTCTGATCAGCAAATATCCACGTGGCTTTGCTCTTGCTTTTGTTATGCAGGTTGGTTTAAGGCACACACCTCACCTCTTGCTAGGCAGAACAGAGACCCAGCTTCCTGGCTGATCTGATAAGCAAACAATGTTTCTTTCCCCCTCATAAGATCCACATGGCAGAATAGACACCCAGCATATTATCAGGCTAAGCACGACATTAGAGTCTCTACTCTGCCTAGCAAGAGCCTCATGGATCTTATTTGCTTGTTTATTGGAATCTTTGGTCCTCAGCAGTGCTGTGGACAGAGAATCAGCAAACAAAGTTTCTTCTTCCTGATACGATCAGTTTGGCTTGGCTTGGCTCCTGCTTCTGTACAGGCAAGGAAGCAACAATTTACTTTTGCAGTAAAGGCTTTATGCATTTGGAAACTAAGATGCGGACGATGCTGATGACTGGGCTGCTGCTGCCAGTTCAAATTTTAATTGCTGGTTTTAGATATATAGTGGTGCATTTTAAGTATTGTTTTTTAAGCAGTTTGTTTTTATTATTCTTTATTCTATGACTGGTGTTTTTAAATGTTGTAAGCCGCCTTGAATTTCAACTTGGCAGGATATAAATATGTTATATAATAAATAAGTAAAATAATATGAGAGGCAGTGGGGTGGAACCCATGGAACGTTTTTCACTCAGCAAAGTAGTAATGGGCTGGTAACACATTTAATATTTCCAGCAGAAACAAGTCATGCCACATTCAAAGTGGTGGACAGCTTCTGTGCATCCCTAGCAGCAGCAACCAGCACACCATATATACTTTATCTGTAGCCTAGTTTTTACAAAGGTGATGAAGTCATGTCTGGGCTACACCATTTTAGACCGCAGGTGGGAGTTAATAAGGCTGAATAATACCTGCATGAAAGTGAGCCCATTGACAGGTTTACAAACTCAATGAGAACCAGACCTGCAGAGGGTAAAAAGTAATTTAGCTTCTTATGTGTCCTCTCCCACACTCTAGAACTAGAGGGCTATGTTCAGGCTAGAAAAACACAGTGAATTCTGGAGAAAATTACGACATTGGTTGAAGAAACAGCAGCACATCTTGGAATGTTCTAGCATTTCTTTAAAGTTATTGTGTATCTCACATTTATCTTCTGAGGCCACTGAGAGGTGTCGTATTCTATAGCCAAAAGGCTGGAGATGGTAGGTTTTCTATTCTGGAAAGCAACTCACCTTAAGAGACTCCTTCTTTGTGAGCTTGGTAGTAGAGGAGCTGGGGGAGGAGGCAGTGATGTCCTTCTCAGAGCCATTATAAAGCTTAGATTCTGACTGAAAATATACATAACACAAGGAAATAATTAATGAAGGATTAGAGCAGTTGCTGTTCAGTCAAACTTCAAGCGAAACATAGAAGCTACAAGTTTTTCAGATTGCTGCTTGCTCCCTTTATGTCGCTTCATTTAATCAAGGCATAGAAAGAGCTTGTAAATGAATCCTTCGTGTGGTACTTCAAAACGTTGGCTTCTTCTGTCATATCATTTAACAATAACCCAATTTGAGGAAAGGAGTCAAAAACTTGACATTGTCCACTGAGCTTTACACATGCAAACACAAATAGCTTTTCTTGTCCAGTGCCACCTACGCACTTACTTACCCCCTGGCCCCTCAAGGAAAACATGGAATTTCTCCAGACTAAGATCTGCTCCCTGAATCTGTTATATCGGTGTTATTCAAATACATTATTACAGCCTGCTTTCCCCAAAACACCCTAATTCTAGAGATCCATAACTTCACCTCACTTAAGTGCCTTTACCACTGAAAATATTTCTTTATTAAACATGCTGCTGTGGCATCACATGGCTTTTATTTATCCTGCCTTGAAAGTTCTAAAAATGGTTTCTCTGCATGTGCCACCCAATAGCCTGGGGGAGGGGGAACTGGTTGAGAATGACAGATGAACCCTGCAGAGTTGCAGAGCTATTCTAGCAGTCTATCATCACTCAACATTGGTTGATAATGTAACCATGTTAACTCATTAGGAACGTCTCAGCATCTTGTACTGACTAAAAATAAACTTTGGATGAGTTACAAGGCATTTGTTACCCTGTATAGCAAAACACGTTTTATTGACACAAATTGTTTAATACTGAGATGCACAGGAACCAGCCAAATCTGCTGGCTAAAATTAAGGCTATCCCACCCACCCCCCAAAAAAACTATTTTACTAAGTTTTCAGAGACAGACAGAGGAAGGGAGGGAGGGAGGGAGGGAAAGAGAGAGAGCACACACATAAACACCCACCAATCTCAAGAAAATGAGACAAAAGCTCTAAACCACCAAGCTCAGTCACATGTACACATACGAAAGTACATACTTTCTTAACCTGGATTTGGCACAATGAAAGCTTTGGTAACCTTGGCTTTTTATTTGTATGAGGAGAAGAACTCCAACCTTGTTGATTCTCCTTGATCTCTCAACAGCTTTTCATACCATTGACCATGGTATCCTCATGGACTGGCTCCATTAAACAGAAGTTGGAGGCAGTGTATTACTGTGGTTCTGTCCCTATTTGACGGGCCAAGCTTAGAGAACCGCTCTTGGAGATTTCTGTTTCTTCCCATGGCAATTATATTGCGGGGATCAATTCTGTCTTCCATGCTGTTTAACACCTAAGTGAAGTCACTGGGTGCCATCATCAAAGGATTTTGGATGAGTCATCATCAAGGCACTCTGCTCTATATCTTTTCCAACAGAAGCAGATGAAGCTGTTCAGAAGCTGAACTTGTGCCTGGGGTGGGGTGGGGATAAGTGGGTGGTCTGGATGGGAGCCAAAAACCAAGCCTGAACCCTGAGAAGGGTTCTATGGCTTGGTAGTTTGTATCTTGTTCAAGTGTGAGTTGCACTCACCATAAAACATATAGAATGTAGTACAGTAGAACCTGCAACTTACCTGGGGGCTATGTTCTGGGGATTGCGCCTAAAACCAAAATCACGTATAGTCAAAATTCATTGGATTCAACGGCAGAGAGGATTGCCAAAGTCATTTTCCCCAGAACCCCACCCCCTTTCTATTTTTTAATTGACATGCATGTAAAGCTGAATGTGCACAAGTGAAATGCACATAAGTTGCAGGTTTACTTGTGGATTCTACCTTGTCACTGGAGCCAAGAACAACTGGCTTTAAAAACAAATATTAGTGCTTGCTTTTGTGCTATAACCAAAGATTACACATAAACATAATTCACCTTACTATTTAAAATAAGCCACAAATGAGATAGGTAGGGGAAAAGATTAAATTAATTGCAACTACGTATCCAAGCTCACTTAGATGCATCAAACTGAACTATGCTCTCTGAAGGTTAAGGTGCTCACCTTGCTTTTTGACATTGATTGTGTAGAATCATCTTTACTTTGTGAGGCATCATCCTTCCCTCTGTCAAAACCTTGAAGAGAAATTGAAATGGTTTAAAAAAATCAGTGTATCCCATATGCCATTAAGGTTGAAATTCTAAATAAGACAAAGCTATTAAAACTCTGACCAAATATACTTAGGGACATGGTGTATATGTCACCATTTGTTCACCAAATGTTTTTGTAATTCCTTTACAACTAGGATTTTTTTTGTTTAATATTAAAGCCATGTTGTGTGAGACCTAGGGTCCAAAAGTGGTTATGTTCCCAACCTACAAAGTTGGTAGTTATCAACCCTGTCCCAATTTAATACATTTGTATTTTACCTTCCAGGCATTCAGAGGTACCTCAATTACTCAGTTATATGAAAATATCCAACTACAGTACTAGTAGCACGTAGCACAACATAGATAAGCACAGAGAGTTTCAGTCCACATGAGAACTGGCTTGCCAGCCCAGCCCCAGGTTACAGCAGTTCCAACAATGCAAAGCCTTCTCATCAGGCATCAGAAAAATAAGATGGAAGTGGAATCTAATAATAAATTCATGATTGAGTAAGTCGCTAGGATTAGGCATTATCATATTCACACCATACCACCACACACATCCAGGGATGTGAACTAATCAATGGAGCATAAAACAGAATGAAGCAGAGCTTGTGCAAAGCCAAGTAAGGAGAGTAGTGCTAACAAGCCGTTTCTACTCCTTGTGTTAATAAAGGCAGATCGGAGTAACCACAAAGCAGCAAGTGAATTCACTTATCTTAATCAGAAATTCCTCAGGAAAGTATTAGCTGCAAATGTTATCTTCCTGGTAAACTTACCAGGAGCTTGGGAAATTCCCTAGAACAATTTGGGATTAACTGAGATTTGGCAGCAACTTCTACATGCACAGCCTTTCTTTGGACATTTGTAGGGCCAAGGGGCAAGGGCCAGTGCGCAACATCTTACTGCTCCAAGCATTCATGTACCTTGTGATATGTCTAGAGAATGGGGCTCATGACACCACAATTAATGTCTAGGGTGCTCTACTCTTCATACAAAGTCAGTGAGCAAGTTACACGCATATAAACTGGTTTTAAAAAAGAAAGAAGGAATATGAATCAAATGCCAACTACTGACATATTTAACAGCATGAAATTCATAATAACAGATATTGTGTTTCCCTCGCCCAGATAATTCATGTAAAAGACTATAATTAAGGTAAGGTTGCAGTACCTAAGTTACACTGCCTTGCATTTGAGATCTAGCACACATACATCTCACTTTGTCATCTGTGAGTATTAAACCACTCTAAATGCCAAACTGGACTTTTAGTAAGTTATGGCAAAAACTCAGTAAAAATAACAACATACTTCCTTACAAGAGTTGTTATGCAACTTACTGGCTTGGTTCAGATATCCTGAAAACCAAACTATGAAAAGGAAACATGCAATGTTGTGGTTACACTCAGAACTCTGCAATAAGTGACTGAAGCTGCAGTTATACAAGTACAGCAAATCTGCTTGTCCTTTGTTCTGTTGTATAAACGTTTATTACTTACACAAAAAAAACATGAAAAGAGGGAGCATTATTTTTAGTTTCCAGGGGATTCACATCATGTTTGTGTTGAAACTACTAACCACAAAAGAAGAGGTAGACAACTAATAGGTACATTAAAATGAAATTAGCTTGAAGGTTGCAACTGTCTTAAATAAATCAATTTTTACAGTAGTACTAACCCACACATTTACAGTAACCTTGCCATTGTGCATTTTCAAGACTGATCAAGTCCATTAGAACCAATGCAAACTAGATATACAACATTATGAATATTTCCAAGTTATTATTTACATTATTAAGGAATGTAAGGATTAAAGGACACAACACTGATTAACATGGCCTCAAATTTTACATTTTAAGATTACTTCTAACAGTCAAAAGTCCTGCTATGTTGTCTACTCCAGATTTCAAAAGGACCTGCACCTAATTAGAAGCCATGTTCCGTTTACTTGAAAATCATTTGGTTGTAGATTCCAGTATGTTGAAAATTCTCTTAAATTGCAGGTAAGAAAGACACCACCCATATTCAGTCAAGTATCATTCTCATTATATAATATCATCATCATCACGTACAATCATACGCAATCTACAATGAAGCACTCCGTTCTTAATGCTGAACTTAAAGAAAGCGCTGCCCGAGAACACATGCCAACCATGAATCATTATTTCCAAATCTCATTTTATTTTATTCAACGTGAATCCAGGTGCTTTTTCAACTTAGAAAATTGCTTTTCTTAAAAAAAAATCTAGTTTTTGTAGAAGCTTTTACAAGAAATATTTTCATGAGAACATTAAAAAGTGAGACAAAACAAACCTCGGAAGACTGGTGAAAGTGCATTGTATCCTCCGAATGAAGCATTCCGGACAAGTTTCCGACCATCAGCCCGTGGAGGCAGCGAAACTCCAGCACATGAAGAAAACCTACGTCGCTGTGGACCTTCTGCCTTCATGAGTTAGATGCTCTGTATAATGATTATTTTCATTCAGAAGGATGATGGGAATAAGAACGTTGCAGAAAGTCTTTTCCCTTCACATTCAGATTAGCAGCATGCAAGACCCACAAAGATCAAGTGCCATGTGCACACTTTGAACAAGGAGAGATGCCAGAGGCTGTTGAACTTTGTAACCAAGCTAAGAGATGTTTATGAATTCAATCCAAGCTGCTACCATTCCTCCATCAATAACATGTCATATTTCAGTCAGCATGCCCTGAGACAAGCTGTTACTCTTCATTGTTTTGCAGGCACCAGACAACTGTCATGACAAAGTACATCAGAATGGAGGAGTTATTAAAGAAATTCCTTTGCTGCCTAATCATTCAAGTTCTATTTTATTGCACACAGAACAATTATGAGTATACTTCTAAAATTGACTCAAGAAAATTAAGAGTACTACTGAGAATCAGAGAAGGAATTTCCATTAAATGGAAACCCATTTATTTTCAGTACTTTTTATTGTGGATTAAATAGCATTAGCCAGCAAGAACTCACATAAATGGCTCTGAAAGAAAAAGCACTGCTTCTGAATGCAGTATTAAGGTACATTTTAGAAGGCAGGCACTAACTCATATCATTTAAGCAATACCACCAAATAGACCCTTGCCAAAATCGTTTCTGATACAGGAGTCAGAACTTCCGTCAGCAATTTCCAGAATTTAGCACAGAGTAACAAGTATCAAAATAGTGTAAAGTGTTTATTGATGACTTTGCTTTTTAACATAATTAACAACTCCAGAGAAAGGGGGTCACTTTTTCATTAAATAGTTTGACATGTTTTCTACGTGTTTAAATACAAGCTATGGTATTTGCTCTACACTATACAACAACAACACTCAATAAATATATATCTTTAGAAACCACAGGCTAACTCTTTTAATGGAGACAACTGAAACAGAATTTACGCTTAAAATTTCATTCAAAATTTTGCAAGCATTTGACTGCTTCACTTGCTCATCATGCAAATTAGTTAGGTGGTCAGTTTTGCCTGCTTTCCATTCGAAATGTCTAACTTTATACAACATTTTTTATTTAAAAAAACCCTTTCAAGTCAATTTCCCCTTGCTTTGATGAGTCATTAAAAAACAACAACAGATAGTCTATAGCTGAGATCCAAGGTTGTTTTTTAAGCCATCATTTTGCCTGAATTCACGAAATGAAATATAGCAAGAAATCTAAAAGCTTGTACAGTGGGGGGGAAATTAAAACAATAAAATACTTTTCTTATATCAGATGATCAAGAAAATTCTTAAGATTTCAAACTATTTAATCTCATTGACTAACAAAACAGAAATGACTTGGATCCAACTATTTGTACCATATAACTGATTTTTTTTTTTAAAAAAGCGGTTTAAATCTGGCAACTGTCAGGTTTAAGCTATACAATAAAAATATATTAATTTACTATATTTTTATCCTGCTTTTCAGACAATTACTGTCTCCCAAAATGGCAAAGAGAGAGAGTATGCGTGTGTGTAAAAGAAGGGCCCACCATCATTCTATTCATATTCTTTTGGATCTCATGCTTTTCATTACTAGATACCAAATGTTCTGGCCCATTAACAGAACACAAACCACTAATACATCCCTCCCTGACCTGATGGGAATCCTCATCCTCTGAGCTCACACAGAAGGTCACACGCATCCTATTAGACTCCTTTCCCTCCTGCCTGCTTTTCCAGTATAGAAGCAAGACAGTGCCAACATTCCAAAGTAAGATATTCTGCTTTGGATACCCTTCATGCATCTCACTCTCAATTTCTCACGCTGTATGTGAAATCCATATAACCCTACATATGGACACAGCTTAGATCCCCTTAACAGCTAGAAAACTGTTAACTGAAAGCTATGGCAGAGCTTAGTTCTCATAGGTACAATCTGTTATAACCTTTGCACCACAAAGGCTCGCTTTATATTTTGTCACTTTAATAATGGGAAATTTCATGCTATTTAAAAAGAAAAAAAAGTGCAGTTTCACTATTTATTATAATGATACATATTATAATATTAACACACCCACAGAACCTGTTCTTGAGCGTAGGGATCTAAGGACGGAACTAGGGGTTACAAGAGAAACAATGGTTTCCATAGCAACACCAAAGTGGGAAAGGGAGGCACCTGAAGGAGAAAATCAGTGGGGTGGGGGAACAGTAGTATTTAGTATCTAGTTCTCTATCCACCAGTTCTACCCTACAAATCCACACACACACCCCAACTGGCTATTTAAAATTTGTATCTCCCCAGCCAGGCCATGAAACTGGAAATAAACTCAACAGAGAGAAAACCAAGAAACTTTGTGAAAATAAATCACCCAGCATGGGAGGATTAAGCACCCCTCCCTCCCCTCCCTCTTGCCACTGGCCCTTCTTGGTAAGTGCCTTTTACCCTATAATACGCTTGTTAGCCATGCAAACACTAATGGATGGTAAACATTCAACAAGGAGTGCACCCCAAATCTGTCATATGGTTTAACTACGCAAAAAAACAGGGTCTCCACCCCCATGGTTCAGCCCGGACACTTAGGTCCAGGCTCCGAGGGCCTTCTGGCGGTTCCCCCATTGTGAGAAGTGAAGTTACAGGGAACCAGGCAAAGGGCCTTCTTGGTAGTGGCACCCACCCTATTGAATACCCTCCTATCAGATGTCAAAGAGATAACAAATTGAACAACCTCCAATAGATATCATGAAGGCAGCCCTCTATCAGGAAGCTTTTCATGTCTGGTGTATCGTGTATGTTTTATATTCTATTGGAAGCTGCCCAGAGTGGCTGGGGCAACCCAGTCAAGATGGGTGGGGTACAAGTAATAAATTATTATTATTATTATAGATAAACATGGATCAGAAGATATCTAGTGAGAAAGCACCATCGTTATTAAGTAATGTAATTTTGATTCAATATTCTGAAGCAGAGGGTTGTTGTGGTTTGGTGTGTTTTTTTACATCTATGCTACAGCACCAATATTTTCTACAGATTTTTCCCCAGGCATCACATGTTGAACACTCATACTAATCCCTATTACTGGAGCTTATTTCTACTTAAAGAGGTCTCTAATCACCTGGTGATTTGGCATGCCTGCTTGGAAAGGCAGTTCGCACTCGGACCTAGTTTTGCCGAGATATATACATGCCTGTGATGTTCTGCTTTTAGCTGTAGAAACAGACTTACTTGCAAGATGGAATGTTCCATTATGACAAAAAATTCTGACACACAGAAAGGCACCATACCAGGGGCAAAGCTACACTGTAATCCTTCTTTGCAACATCTAGCTTTCTATAGGCAAGGTGTGTGTGCTGTTTTCAAACTTGAGCAACTTCCCATCAGGTGAGCCCTCACTTGCAGTCTGAAACAGTTCAACAAAGACACAAATTTGCCACTTTTAAATCTCCAGGCCAAAGCTGAAAGGGGAACACTACTGCCCAAACTTAGTTTTTATTTATTTATTAAATAAATAAATAAATTTGTCAGGTATAAAGGGTGAACTTTTACATATATCCTCCTTGTATCAATTTCCATTGTCAAGTCTTTTTTATATCAGCCTTATATCAGCTTTACCTCTAAATCCTACATATCTTTCTCCCTTATATCCCTGCTCCAAATTCCCAGGCCTAACTTCCTCACTATCTATCTTTTTCTTCTTCCTGATATCTTTATTGATCTCTATCTCCCCTTCCTCTTTTGCTGCCCCACCCTCCTGAGCACTCTCTACATCAGGAAGGCAGCAGGAACAAAGTGCAATGTGATTTGTTTCTGCTGCGTATTCCTATGTCAATATGATGGTTCTCTTTGCAGACTGTTTTTTTACACTGTGGAAATACATTTCAGTGCCAACAATATTCTATTATTCTTTTCCATAACCCACAACAAACAGCTTTTGGCAAACATCCATTCTTGGGATTTTTTGATTATTATTTTTGCTACTTCCTCTGTTAATTCATATTTCTTACTCATGCATGGTGCATTGAAAGGCATAAGAACCTCACAGCAGTCATAAGATTCTAGAGGAGAAAACGGGCTCAGCACTCTTTCACAACAAAACTTATTTCATTCTTTGACATTTATATGCTGCCTATTCAATGCAATTAAATATAATGTTATAGGGAAAGGGTTAGTATTTTGAAAAATCTTCATTACAAATAGTAAAGATAAAGCATCCTCTATCTTGTGGTCTGGCAGGGGGACAAAATGAAGAAAGAGCCAGAAGAACAGCAATTTGAGACAGAGATGCATGCAGAGCAGCAAAAATAATCATCGATGCTCCTCCAAGGTAAATTCAAGAAGGTAATCAACAATGATAGCTACTTAACAATTATTATTTTATTTGTTACATTTATATGTGCACCAGTTTACTCCAGTAAAAGTACAAGATTTAAATATTGAAACATGGCAACTTAAGCAATGCAAAGTTTCAGGAACCAAAAAACAAGTTATCTTACCATTGGATCATTTAAGGCTGCAATCCTAACTACACTTATCTGGGAGTAAGCCCCCTTAAATTCAATAGGACATACTTTTAAGTAGACATGGTTAGGATTGTGCTGTAAGAAAATAGGCTACTGTTCCAAAACCTCATTAAAATGCAACTGAGGCATGGTTAAACTCCACAGAAAACACAATTAACAGTATAGTTTCTGCACAGGATACTGGAAAAAACAAATGGGTGTCAATTATTGTATGCACAGAAATAATCTGTTTCAAGTAAAAAACATTTGCAGTGGTTGTTGGTAAAAGAAAAAAGGGGAGGGGGAGCCCTTCAACCACTCTGGTGACTACTGCCTTGAAAATTCAGGTTCACTATTAAGATGGTATTGTTCAGCCAGTGAGACAAAACCATACAAGATTCTAATGAAGCCCAAAGAGCAAAGAAATTGTAAGGATTGCAGGGTCATTATGACTATGAATACAGAAGGCGATCAGTGAAAATAATCAAAATGTGTTAGCCATTACTTTCAAAGCCTTATACCAGGGTTCCCTAATCATTTTTGGGCCTGAGGACACATTCAGAATTTTGAAAAACTGACAAGGGTACAACCACAAAATCACTGCTATTGATGCATAACCATTCACAAAATGACTGCCTCCCACTTAAGATCACCCTCTCCACGTTAACTCCCCCTCCCAAAAAAAACCCCTCTCAGAATCTTCCCCATCAACTCTATCATGACTGTACCAATCATGGACACTCCTTTCCCTCCTCCAACTTTCCCTCCCCTCCCCCTCATTACTTTCACCTCCCCCTACCCCCATGTCCTAACCCGCTGCCCCCATGTCCTTGCCAGAGCAGGTGGAAGTGGCATTTCTGTGTGGGAACCACAATGAATTTGGGGGATTCTATAATGCCCACTTTGAAAGGATATGGGAGCTAAGCAGCCCCCATACAGAAGTGCCACCACTCACTTGGGGGAGGAGTTATGTGACTGGGAAACAGCCTTTGCAGGTAATCAGGGCATGGAACTGCAGACCCTGATGTCTGCAAGTCCTGCTTTGGGAATGCCCACCCAACACTGCCTGGTACTTGCACAAAAACTGAACTGATGGAGATTCTTCGCTACAAGACTGTAGCTAACAAGATCAAGAACAAGAGTCTTGGCTATGGGGGTGAGCAACACTGATGCAGAATACCTAACAAGAAGAGTCATTTTGGTGTCATATACAAAGTAAGGTTATTACAAAGGTATTCAGCATTGCTAAGTCACTCTCTTGGCATGATTTTTGCCACAAAAATCACTTTAACCATTTGGCTAGAACACTAAGCTTAAGTAACTGATCTTTCTTTGTCCTTTTGTTTCTCCCTTTAAGTATTACAAAAATCAGTGTAGCTGAAAATGTTGAGAGTTTCTGATGTTGAGAGTTTTTGTAACAATGACATGCCTATGGTTTTCAGTTACGCAGAAATAACATTCACATATTATGGTTCATTGCTTATTTGTATCTAAAAGAACAGCTTCCAAAAATGATTCCCTAGGGGGTCATTACTGAACATTACCAGTTTTGATATTCAGCATGATTTTAGTCATTATTATTATAGGAATAATTAAAGAGCCTTGTTGGAACAGATAAAAAGTCTACCTAATCCAGTATTCTGTTCTCACAGCGGCTGACTAGAAGTCTACAAACAAGTTGTGAGTACGACAACTCTTCCTCCTAGTTGTTTCCCAATAACTGATGCTTTTAAACTATTGAAATTAAACATCATTGCTCATTTTCAAAATATATTTGGTGCTCTGTACCCAACAGCTATTCAGATGGGTTTGAATTCCATCAGTACTAGTTATTTTAACATATAGCACTAATTGTACTGTAACATGGCATATTGCTATACATATGCCGCACTCATTAATTTGGCTATCAATGAATTTTAATCTAGAAATACATTAAAGTTCAGTTGCATGTTAAAAATGCAGATTTTCTACTTCAAAATAATAAACATAAGCTGAAATAAGAGCAAAATAGGACATAACCTTGACATATGCTCAACTTGAAATATAAGGGCTTTTTGAAACCGGCCCCCCAAAATTAATCCTTTTGCTGCTGTAACAGCAACAGATATTAGAATGTGTTAGATATCCAAGACAGCTCACAAAATCAATTTGTGACTCTGTGTTCTTCCTGAGGTGGTGGTGTTGTGGAGAGTCAGCTTATTAGTCCCACTACTGTCAAGCCACTTTTCTGGTTAATATGATTAAACACTACAACACACAAACTTATTACATCAACAAACCTACCATAAGAAAGAAACCTGTAATTAAATCTGCATTACCTACATCTATGTGCAACATGTGACCTTCCTCATGCAATGAGTTTGTTTGGAAAACAAAGTCAGCTGCTAGTAGCTATCAAGCTACTGCTGTGTAATATGCAATCCAACTTAAAATATATTTAGAGATATACTTGCCTTTAGAGATGTGTCTCCAACTCACATGAATGGAAATCCAAAACACAAAACAACTGTATATTACAAGAATGGCAAACTGTTTTACAACCCAAAAACTAGTATCCCCAAGGTTGACAGAATCAATGCAATCTAAATTTCTCCTGAAGCAGTTCCTCTCTGTACACCGGGCTACAGCTCAGGCACTTTTTATAAAAGCAGCTTGCTTGGCCGTAGACTTGCATCTCAAACTGCTCTGTTCCACAGCTCCTCCCACACACTTGTTGACTACTCAGGTTTCAGTTATTTTATCCCAAGCAAGACCTCTGAATTACAAGGACAACAGATTAGGCTTGAATGGGTCAAACTGGCCAAAAATTCCTAAAGAAAGATTTGTTGACAAGTCCTTTCTTTACAACAAGAGAACAATACGCCAAGACAAAAAGCTCTATTCTAATTATATATCCAGGGTGAACAAATGCATATAGAGAGGAAAACAGGATCTCAGCAGCAGCCTTGCCACTGCTCTATGCATATTCAGATGCCTTTTAACACATAGGGTTCCTCTGCTAATACCCAATCAAAATGGTTGGACACAGCACACACAATTCTGCTCAATGCATTCTGGTAGATACTTTAAAACTAGTTTAGACAGTTTCAGCAAAACAGACAATCCCCAAATAACCCACAGAGAGCTTGCTTACCATGAAGGGGAGGTTAGATAGAATATGAGGCATGGTATAAGAACGTAAGAAGAGCCTGCTGGATTAGGCCAATGGCATTATGTTCTCACAGCAGCCAACCGGATGCCTGTGGGAAACCTGCAAGCAGGATTCTCCCCTCTGGTAGTTTCCAGCAACTGGTATTTAGCAACATTACTACCTCCAACTGTGGAGGCAAAGCGTAGCCATCATAGCTAGCCGCTATTAATAGCCCTCTCCTCCATGAATCTGTCTAATCTTCTTTTAGGTTGGTGTCCATCACTGCCTCCTGTAGGGGCTAGTTCCATAGTGTGCTGCATGCAGTACTTTCTTTTGTCTGTCCCAAATCTTCCAACATTCAGCTTCACTGAATGTCCAGGAGTTCTAGAGTAATGAGAAAAACTTTTCTCTATCTACTTCCTCCAAACCATGTGTAATTCTATAAACTTGTGTTTGACTCAGTTTAGACTTTTGTTACAATGTGCTTACACTGTTTTTTCTCATCTACCATTGCGTTGCCCTGTCACCCAGTGAGGCAAGGGAAACTGCAGCCTGATTTGATTTGATTCATATATATAGTACTACTGCTACTACTAAAGTGCAGGTCTTGGTAACCTTAATTACAAAATTAAGAAAAAGCTGAAATCCAAGATCCTTGCTGTGCCGTGTCTGAAATGCTCCATTCTGTATTGCACAGCATCTAAATGACTACTCTGTAACTTGGTTCCACTCCCCGTCATTATCAACAAAAAAACCCATAAGGTGGCACTCTTTTAAAGAGCCGTATATGAAAGGGATCCCATCTGAGAAGAATGGAATAGTTAGAGCTGCAGAAAGCTTATGAACTGTACATGTCACAGGACGTGCGGATACCACCTTCATATATTTTAGTGGTAAATGGATTTTACACTGTGCAAGCACAGAAACATGTACTGGTACAATACACGGATGTCCCCCTCCCCCAATCAAAGTAAGATATAATGGTTTGAAAGGAAAATGAAAAATATTCTAGTCCAATGCTTTGCCCCAATGTTCTGGGGTTTGAGGAAATAAAACATCAAGTTGAAAGGAAAAAGGAAGGTATTTAAAATAGTTTTCACACTTTTCTAGGAACTGGTGAAAATCTTTGAGTTGCATGTGATTTTGGCTTTATGTGCTATCCCTGGAACATGACCCCCCCACGTAAGTTGCGAGTTGCCTGTACAAAGCCCTTAAAGAATTGGGTCCAGTGTACCGTCAGAACCACTGAAATCATCTGGAGGAGCACTGTTAATTGTCCCCAATGTTACAAAGGACTGACTGACTACAGTTAGAACATTTAGTGTTGCTAGTCCATGGAACACTGTTCCAACAGAGATGTTTTGTGCCTACAGTTGTTTACTTTTTATTAGTCTGTCACCTGAATGATTATCTGCATATGTATTTTAAATTCTGATCTTCTATGTAGACAGTGTACTGGTACAATACACGGATGTCCCCTGTAGACAGCCTGATATTTTTAATGAAATGGTGGCATACAAAGTCCTTAAATAAAATTTCCCCAAATACCTACATTTGACAAAAAACACATTCCATTCCATTCCCCTATAGTGCTGTTAGACAGATTGACCCAAAACTACAATACTGTAAGAATTCCTTAGGTCTGTTGTTCCTACCAGTTAAAGGACTGTTCCCTTATCCCTTGGCACCCACAATTCTACTCACAGTAAAATCATTTTCTTCACTTAGAATGCAAAATACACTTTAGTCAATGAGTTGCTGTGTTACATTATAGACCAGTCAGATATGTATGTACAGAGGTTGTTGAGATTGAAAATGCGGCAACATGTAATGACTCAAAGGCATTGTACTACATTCAAAGACATGTGAATCAACTATAAACTGTTCTTAATTTCCATATAGTAGATGGAGCTGGCTTTCTGCTAGCTTGATAAATGTTTACCAATTTAAAAATAGCAATATATACGCAGGCATTTTACAAACATAGTTGTCTAAAATGTTGGACATCAGCTGTACAGTAGCAATATGAATGTTCCTGCCTACTTAATGTATTAGAGAAGGTCAAAATGGTTAGTTGAGCAGCCACAATCTCTAAGAAAAACTTAAACAGGAGACCAACAGAAATTAACATTTTAGAATTTAAGTTTATTGTCATATTTATTTCCAATATTTTTATAAAACAAACAGGACACAAATAAACAAAGCCAATAGAAAGGAAGGAAGAAAGAAGAGTAAGAGTTCACTTATCAGGGGAAAGGAGCCAAAAATAGTTACAAGAAGAAAAAAACTGTTCACAGAATTGAAGAGGTACCTATGAGACAATGGGTGGTGGTATGCCATGCACTCAAAAGGATGCAGCACTCAAGACTTCTACTCTTTGGTAAGCAGATGCAGAGGATTTGTTCTTCAAGTACTGGAGTGCTAGCCATTTTAACTATAGCAGGGCATGAACATCTACTTCTTGTGGGCTTCTGAAAGGCCTCAGACCACTCAATATTTTAGAGAGAGATTCATGTAGGAGAATCTTAGACCAGTTTTCACATGATTTATCTGAAAGCACATCTCTTCTAAGAAGAAAGCCACTACTGGCATTGCCACATCATGTGTAACAATAAGTCAGGGTTGAATCCACATTGCCAGCTTTTAACTTCAAGTTGTTTATTGTTCTGAAGAATCAGAATTGTGTCAAGTCGGTTCCAAACATCAGTTTTTGTTGTATTAAATGCAATCAAAAGGTCCAATGCTGAAAAGCAGATAGTGGCAAGAGTTGATGTAGATGTCCTCAAACTGTGGCCTATAAATCACAAACTCAATTCAGGTGATCCATAAAAGGTTGCAGAACAGTGCTTGGTCCTGCACTTGATTATTATTTTTTCTGATGCAGATCAAGGTTGTTTTGACTCAGCTGGATTATCAGACAGGGAAATCCATGATTTTCACAATATGGTGCTGAATTGATTATGCTGGCACTAAAGAAAAAGTGCCCTTAAAATGTGGTATGTGCTTTGCTTTGATTAATAATAATAAAGTAGTCAGAGGAAAAAAAGCTTGAGAACAAGAACCCATGAACATCAGCTCTATTTTTTTTTGCCTCAGAGTCTATAACAATCCTGGAGGACTTGATCAGTCTTTCTTGTACTTAACAAATCAAAAATACCTATGCACAAATGACACTTGTAGAGTGTCTAGATACCAAACCCTCTTGAGAGGAATGTAACAGAAAATGAAAACTTCCAGCACATAAACACCAATATAGCTGTTCTCAGTAAACCCAGTTGTCCTGCTATCTGTAAACATGGATTTCACCAAAGCATAAGCTTAGCATGGTTGAAGGAACTGAAATGAAACTACCCTCTGAGAGCACAGCATGCCCCTTTGGCTACCACTACTGTGGGGAGGAGCAAAGTTAGTTCTTCCATAATGCATGGATCCAAAATTGACCTATTCTGAGAGCAGCGGCAAATAAAAAGCTTATAGGATAGCCCATGAAAGTACCATGGATAGAGAGGAAGGGGGCCCCTGCCATTTTGGGTAGGAGAACGTAATTGGTCTCACAAGTGAATTTGCAATCTAAAGAGGGAAACACAGGGAGGGTGGTTACAAAAATGAGACATGTCACTGGGTCTGGGAATGTTACAATGCAGTGGAAGGTGAATAGATGTAATCTTCCCTTGGACTGTACCACTTGTAAAGTTGTATGACATTGAGGATACAATTCTGCAAAATTGGCAGATGTTTACTTCATCTCTAAGCTGTGAGAGCCTGTTAATAAAGCAACCACGTTTCTCCATATGAACTTGAGTATCCATATGTATATGGCTGTGTGTCCTTCCTACGGCTCTAAGTCAGTCCCAGAGGATCCAGGGACCAAAAGCAGGGGGAATAAAAATCAATGATTAGTATTTTTTCAATGAATTTTAAAAAAAATTATGTCAGAATGACATTTTCACAAAATGTTGTGAATACTAAATTTCCTTTAATTAAGTATGGTAATATTAAATTTTGGTGTCATATGGTATAAGGATGTTAACTATATAGTTTACATCTCAACTGATCAATATCTGCCAGAGACATAGTTTAAGGAGGCGTCTGTATGTAAGTGATTAACCAATTTGATCACTTCTCAAATGTTAATATTTACACAGGCATTTCATTTTCATCTCATGAAAACAAATTGTTCTGGTTTGCTCACTAAATATCAAGCCCTACTTCGACCTATCACTCACAGGCATTTCATTTTTGTTTGATACTCTGTTTTTGTGAGGATGGGGCTGTGCCAAGGCAGAGTGAAGAAGAAAGAAACAGCTTTGAAAAGAAGAATCATGGAATTGTAGACTTGGAAGGGTCACCTGAAAATGGCAACAGACTGGAAGTGTCCTCACTCAGGAAATGCTTAAGCAACACAATGAGTTTCAGACCAGGTTGCTGGGACAAAACAGTTGTCGTTATTTAAGAATAATGAACCATGATGAACGCTACAAATAAATTATAATACAGGTCAGGGATGCCAACATGGAACCCTCCAGATGTTGTTGGACTACAACACGTCATCATCCCTGTCTACTGGTCATGCTGGCTGCTGCTTTTGGGAGTTGGAGTCTAACAATCTCTGGAGAGCACAATGTTGACTATCGCTGTTCTAAGTAATCTGAAATGTTACAGGAAGAAAGAAACAACTTGCAACTTTCTATATACCAAATTCAGCTTGCTTTACCTGCCCATTCTCTTCAACTTTTGCCCAAAAAGGCTGCATAAGTTTACAACAATATGCACACACACATTATTCTACAGACAACTTGCCATAAAAAGCCACAGGTAACTAGCCATAGGGGCTAGTAGTGACAACTGATAAAAGGAAGAAAGGGCAAGTAATGGCACCAAACAGACACATTCAAGCTAAATATTCTCTAAAATCGTCATAATGCCGCTTTACAACCCATCTCACTATGATTTTGAAAAGAAACAGAAACTATAGTAATTGGAATTAGAAAATTTGAAATATTTCCATTTTCTTGGTAGTTTATTCAGCTTGCATTTGGCCTGGAAACCTGGCAAGCATAATCTCTGCTACAAAAAATGAGCAGCACAACAGCACAAGTTAAGGTTTCTCTCTTTATCAATCTGTGCATCAGAAAGCTGAAAAGATTCCCCAAAAGTAGAATTGCTCTTCCTCAATTCAAATAAGAGTTCTGAGGCAACTGGAAGCAGCTAAACATTTACAGCCCAAATCCTTAGCATTTTCTCAGAAGTGTTATTTTGGGCAGTGAGGCTTGCTCCTAGGTAAGTGTGCACAGAATAGCAGCCTTACAGCCTACAGTATGTTTACTCTGACAGAGATCATGCAAGCATGAACAGGAGAACACTATTTAGCAAAGGGCAGACTAATCTGCAAGCCTCCAAATGTTACTGGATGACATTTCCCATCACTCCTGTCAATGGTAGTTCAATGGTAAGGAATGAGTATATTTGTAATCCACCAATGTCAGGTCCCACCCCCTAATTTATGTAGAGGGTATTAATTCAACCAATTGGTGTTCTCTGTTATTAAGAATCATTCTAATCAATTCAAATCTGAATCGCAAGAGTGGAAACTATTCACAAACTGCAAGGAATTTCAGGCAGTACAAAGCACAAATTCCCATTTTTAACCTTTCGACTCTTCATTCTATTTTTAAAAATCAGAAATCTGAATAGCCATTAATGGTGTACAAAACTGTCTTACAAATGCTTTTAACATGCATAGAAATGCAACCTTAAACAGCAGACTGAAAAGGGAAGACATAAACCTACACATTTATTAAGGTAAGAAATTATTTTCTGAACCAGATGAGAGGCAAAGAACAGAGAACAATTTTCAGCTCATCCAAAGGATTCCACATTTTTAAACAGTTTTTACTGACATGTAGATGAACACATTTGCTGCAAGTGCTGCAGTAACTATTGAAGACATTATGGGCTGTGGAAGCCTGTGGAAGGGCTCCCATTGGTACAATGAAGCTTTCCTCCCTCCTCTTATCCCAGATCTGCTCTGGAAGGTTGGGAGAACTCCCAGAATAGCATGGGACGATGGGAGAGGAGGGGATTATTCAATCAGACAAGCAGAAATGCTTCTGCTGATGAAACAATCTATTTAGGGCTAGGTTGAATTCCACCCTTTATCCAGTTTGACATTCCAGTCATCTAATGAAATGCTTCTTACCATGGCCATGGACTGTTCCTGGACTAAATGATGGCTGCTGTAGATCTTTGGTTGGAGTAAGATAGCCTTCTTTTCCTTGACGCTGGCTCATCTTTCCTGGACTCAGAACATGAGCTTCATCGTTGTTTGTTACCACGCCTGAAAAACAAAGAGGATTATTAATTAATTATTCACTGCACACGGTGTTTTACAGAGTACAGGTCCATGCACAAGGAGAAGCAAAGGAGGGGGATAAACCGAAGGCAGGGTATATAGGAGGCCCATCCAGCTCCCAAGAGACTGTGATCTACTTCCAATTAAAAAAAACTGGCAGTGGTCTACCAGAGTTGAGGTTTCTTTGGGGGAGGATGCCCCGGAGTTGTTGAGCTTAGGCCAAGTTACAGCATGGCATGGGAATGAGAGGCTTACACCAATGGCTTCACACAAATGGTGGGATTTGAGGGAGGATTTAAATGAAAGTAAGAACGCACAGTTGTTCTGGGAAATGGTTGCAAATATGGGAGGAAAGGGTGGCATCTTTTGAGAAAGCAGGATTTCTTCCAATCTAATAAAACATACCTGTTTATTTTTGAGATACTGCTGTCTTTTTGTTAATAAGAATTGCACATTCTGATGTCATGTCATGTTGCTTCAAAGCCCCCACTTTTTAAATCTTTCAATACTGCTACATTGCCCTCTAGAGACTTCACTATGAAAGTGCAAATTTCATTTGCATTTCATTTTTCTACCAGTAGTGATTCTGTTCTGCTCTTGGAAAATACTGCACTCTCAATATTAAAATATTCACCATAAATTTATTGTGGTTAACAGACCAGAGATAAGACCAAAAATAAAGCCATACAATGTACCATACTCTTAAGTATAGGGCAAAATGCAAAGAAAAAGCTTGGGTAAAGCAAATTCTAAGGGATATTTATTTTCCAGACCTTTTGACTTACTCATCCGCAAACTGCTCATCTTGTTCCTTAGACGTTTTTTTATTATGCTCCTTTTCAGTTAGCTGCTTATTTTATGAGTATTTTAGGAGTATGCATGTATTTAAACACAGTGTGGCTTTTACTCATAATAACCAAGAGGTAGAATCTGTGGAACATGTTCCTTTTCTTTATGTGATGTTTATGCTGGAGCTTATTGGCAAAAGATTGCCCTGAACTACCTAGAAGGTCAGCTCCATTTTATATAAAATACTTGCTGGGATATAAAATCCCAAAGGCTTCAACCATATAGGTATACAACCATACAGGCTGGATCTTCCACAAGCCCACCAAAGGGTTGTGTATGTACAAAATATCTAATTAAATTACTCCAACATACAGCGGTCCAACACACATAAGCATGAAAGCATCCTAGTTCTCAAAGCATTAGTAGAATATCTGAGATGTACCACTTCCAAGTGGAAACTCACATGTTGAATATTTTAGGATACAAATAAATCCCATCCACGTAGAAAGGCAGGTATCAGGGAGAAAGTTGCATGGGTTTTTAAATATTTTTCAGATGGAGGAACATTTGATTCTGCAATTCGCCACATGCACTTAGAAGCAGAACATCTCAGAGATTTTAACCCCTCAATGATAATTAGGGCGTAATTATCAAGTCTACTCTACCGTAGAGAAGATCCTGACATGACAGGTTAAGCCACTGATTTATCTGCAAAATTTAAAAAAGAATCCTCAGAGCTCCCTTTGCCAGAACCTCCTAGTCTTCCTGAAGATTGAGCAAAATCTCTTTTCCTCAGCCTCTTTTTACACACAGCAACCATCTATCCTTTGCTTCCCACTCAGTTCAACCTCTTTCCTTTGGGAAAGCAGGGGGTCAGTAGAGATTTATCTTGCCTAGGTTGACTTGAGCTGGTCTTGCATAGCTGTTCTCTTCTTACTAAACTACCAAACCCTGTCCCAGTTATAAACACAGCAATATAAACCCACTGCATCCCCTAGTGGCAGTTGCCACTCTGTATATATGACACAAACTACACTTTTCTTTATTGATTCAACGTGACAAGTGAAAAACATTATAACACTGAGCACACAAGACTTTAGGGAAGGGAAATGAATTAACATATATACCTGATTTTTCATTCTGAATTTTGAAAGGCTTGCAGCTCACCCCCCTCCCTGAATCCTCCATTTCAAATTTCATATGGGTAATATGAGTCATATTGATTTTTATAAAGGAACAGAATTTGTGGTTTTAATAGATTGTCTCACACCTTACAGAATGACGCCTATGGGTCTTTAATATAAGCGTAATGTGGGCAGTAATTATAATAAGAAATACACATAGTTTAGTCTCATACTTAAAAGGTGAAGGCTTAGCCCGCTAGAAGGATTAAGCATTTAGTTATGAGGTAAAGTCTTGGATAGGAGTTCCTTCGGAGATGTTATTAAGCAACCATAAAAGCTTTTAGTTGCTTGAAGCCCACTTGCGTTCAAAGAACAAGTGAGCTGAGCTACCGCATTGGTAGGGAATTTGTGGCCTTCAGATGTTGCTAGACTATACAACTGCCATCATACCTGACCACTGGCTATGCTCGCTGGGGTTGATGGGAGTTGGTGTTTAACAGGTTCCCCATTCCTTGGGGTACAATCTGCTAGGCAGGGAAGGGAAATCCTCTTCTCAACTTGCAGTCACACACACTGAATGTGGATACTGAGAAGAGATCCCAGACACTAACATAAACCAGAAAAACAGGAATCCAAACTCTCACCATTCAGTTCCAGTAACATGATTTACTGAAGAGGCACCTTTCAGTGACGGTGGAACTTCCAGGTGAGACAGAACTGCTGCTCCTATATAGGGCTCAGTCTAAGACTAACTGCTGCTGAAGCAATATCCGAGCAGGGCACACTTTGAAAATATGGCAACCTGTGCAAGGCTAAAATTTGTGTAACTGCCCCACCCGGTTGTGACTAGACACTATCCAACAGGAGCCCCACAATGCACTTATGACTGGATTCCATTCAGCACTTCCCTGGCAATCTCAACTGAGAAGCTGGGATTGGGCGAGAACAAGTGACAAAATATTGGTGTTTGAATGTTGAGTAAATGCAACATTCACAAAGCAGAAATTCAGTTAAGAGCAGATATATTGATAGCCGCAACTATACATTTTTCTTTTTTAAAATGACTACAGAGTGCCTAAACTGTTTAAGAAGTACAAATTCAAAACAGAAACTCACACAACGGAACTAGTTGTGTGAAACTTTGGATCTCAGTCTCTACATATGATGTCTCAAGACTTTTCCAGTACAAAAAGGAGCTTGTCAACCTTGCTCACTATAATAGTGTGTTACAATTAGTTAAGAGAAGAGCTCTTCAAAAGAATGGTGTCAGCTATCTGAGAAGACTTTAGCAGGCAGTTCCTTTTAATTGTATTCCAACAGGAGTAGTGCTAAATATTGCTTATTTATAGTCCCAAGAGAAACATTTGATAGCTGCCTATATATTTTTCATTTATCTCTCCAATATTGGGTTCTAGCAAGAACCCCTGGCTGGATTAGGAACATGGTACTGAATCAAGGCCTCTCAGCTGCTCTCTCTTCAAAATAGGAGCAGCAGCATTATGCACACTTTTTAAAAAGCTTAAATCAAGTAACACACTGTTTAGCCCCCGCCAAAACGCCATGATTCTTTGCATTACACAGTAAGCCAATTAGAGCTTACCAGGACTGCATAGGCTCCTGGAGAGGAGCTCATCCCTCTTTGCTTCTCTCTCTAGTCCTTCTTTATTGCACTGAGCTAATCCATGGTTTGGCAAAGTGTGGTGTTCAAACCTGGGCTCACAGTTAAGCTCTCATCTTGTTAATTTTGAGTTGTAGACAAGAATAAACCCAGGCTACAGCTCATGGCTAGTTAAGAGAGAACTTCACCACACACTTGGGTTTCGGTGGCATGCTAAACATGGGAATAAAAAAGGCTTGAAGAAGCAAAGCATCTGTGATTTCTCCAAAAGCCTGTGCAGTCCCACAGCCATAGTTCGGCTTACTGGGTCATGCGAACTAGGCCAATGAAATATTCTTCAGAATTATTGCATTATTCACATGCAAACTTAGGCAGATTTAAAGCAAAACTCAGATGATTAATTGAATAAGATTTCCTTCATCAAGCAACAGCGCTGCTGTAATAAAATCAAAATACTGAGATATAACCCCACAAGAGAACCTTAGTAAATTTAAATAATTAATTAAAAAATAGCTAAAGATATTTAAGACAGCAAGTCAATATAGAAACAACACAATTCTGTGCTTTATCTATTTGCAAGATCTTTTATTTGTTTACTATCACATGGATGGCTACTAGCTTCCACTTTTCTATTAAAACAGGGAGATTATCGCCAACAGAACAAGGTTACTAGTCACTATAGTACAGACTAAATTATACTCTAATCAACAGAGCCATATATATGTGTTCCAGTTTGAGAATGATTTAAATTTAGTTTTCCAACTTTAAAAAAAACCTAAGGCCCCTACTATTTTCACATTCTTGTTTATTTTCTTAAGGCACAGCAGACTTAAGCTTGTGCGCATGTACACACACATGTGCTTGCACACAAATGCACAGTTTCTGTAGTTCAGCTATTCCACCTCCCTCTGCTACTTTGTGTCTGATCATTCATTAAAAGCTCGGCACTTGACAGTGTCTAGTGGAAGAACCTAATCATGTCACGATCTGGGAATATGATAATATAGCTCTTCACATGTTGTAGCAGAAATCATTTACTTACTTGAGGATCCCTGGCAGTCTTTGATCTCATCATGATGCTTGAGGTGGCGTGCAATTGAGTACGCAGAACAGCAGACAAAAGCAGCAAGGCCAAAAATGGAGAGGGAGAATATAGCAGAGGAGGCAGCCACAATTAAAGGCAAGAGAGAGAAAGGGAAACAGCATGTTAGTTTGAAACTAAAAATAAAAAATGCACATCATTCCTGATTAATTTTCTTAAGAACAACACAGCACCAAAAAAAAACAAGAGAAAACAAAACAAGTGTGCTTAGCAACAGGCCATTATTAGCTTTGCTACAGTTAATGAATGACTAATTTCTCCAGAAGTACAAATACTTTTCACAATTATTTTTCATTTATCCAATCACATAACACACCAACTTCCACTGTAAAAGGGATGCCTTTTACAATAAAGGAAGTTTAACTTTCATTCAATCTATTAATAGTAGAAAGTAGCTGCAGAACTTAAAATCAAGTCTTTACCTTCAGTTGACAACAGCTAACTAAATTATACTGTATAATGCTACATCAAATATAGTGAGTTAGAATGGAATCTTGTTCTAATGAGGGAAATGCATACAATATTGTCAAGTATATTATTAAAAATATGGATTTCAACTAGGCATAATAATTTCTTCCAATAGCAAACTGTGGTAGCTGAATGAATATCAATTTGGAAGCAAAACAGGGTAACCCAAAAAATGGGGGGTGAAGTGGGGGAGTAGTCCATAGGCAGCCTTGGGGAAGTGGGTGAGAAAAACGTTTGATGAATAATATGAAGGTTAAAAAATACTCCCTTCCTTCAACTACAGTGAGATAAGTCAGCATTAGGCAAAGTGAGGCAACTGCTCCAAGCAGCAGCACCACCACCACCACCAAATGTTCTTTCTGTGCAACTCCCATTTCCATTTGTTGCTACACAACCTCTCCTGGGTACCCCTAAACTGGCATGTTGTCTCAGCATGATGAAGAATGCAACCTGAACATCATGAGAAGATTCCTATTTCCATTCAGCTAGAGCTCTGAATAGAACTCCTCTCATAGACGGGATATTCTACAACCTTTGGGTTCGCACTTAAATGATATAAAATTACATACTGATACAATATTCTTTGTTATTATTAATCATTGTTTTAAAATTGCACCATGCATTTAAATTATTTAAAACTTGACAGGCACAAACCACTACTAATAGTACATCAAAACTGTTAGCAAGAGTTGCTGTAAAAGGCTGTCAGTCTAAGCAGAGGAAGAGCTGCTTGGCCTTCTTCATTTTCGTCTCTCCTCCCCTTGTTCAAACATGTCTCCCCCAGCTGCTTTTCCACTGGGGAGGGGGAGGATAGAGATGAGTACAGGGGTAGGGGAAGTTCTTCCTTACGGAAGAAAATTAGCTGTGGGAGATTTTGAATAATACATTCTGAAGGGAGGGTAGTGTAGTCATTCTTCCATGGTTACTTTTAATATAAAAAGAAACACAGACCATCACACACGTCTCTTATGGCCCTTACAGATATGGGAAAGCCAGAAACACATGTGTCTAACAGTTCTTTGTCATTCAGCACTTTAGTGGAGAAAGAAAAAAAATCATGATAAAATCAGAAATGTATGATTTTTAAAATAGTATCCTTTTGGAGGTGTTCTTTTGTTAAAAGTGAAAGATCTGCTATGTAGTTTAAACTAGATTCGTACCTACCTTAATAAGCAACTGTCTAAATAGTTGCCTGACTGAATATTTACATGTTCTTTGAAGCAACCAATGAACATCACTATGACATGAATGTTAATTACTATAATAATAATAATATTCAGTATGCATCTGAAATTCATTATGCTTAAACTATGGTGTTAACTAAAAACCTTACCTCGAATCTATTAAAATACTTCCTTCTCTGTTTAAAGATTCCTGTCTGTTATCTCTACTAAAGGAAAAGAAAATGTACCATATTAAATCAAGTTTGTGGGGTGGGGTGGGGGGCTAGCATAGCTCAGTGGTAAACTGTGTGCTTTGGTCTCAGGATCAATCCCTAAAACCTCCAGAGAGGGATGAGAAACATCTCTATCTGGAATCCTAGAAAGCTATTGTCAGTCAGTGCAGACAACAGTGAGCTAGATCAGGGGTAGCCTTCCAGTTGTTGGTGAGGGCTTGGGGGAGTGGGAAGTTGTAGTTCAACATCTAAAGGACACCACACTGGTTACTCCTGAGCTATGTGGTTCTTAGTCAGGCTGTATAAGGCAGCTCCCCATGTTTGAAAAACATGAGGAGTGGATCATGACCCACTCTGAAGTGGGTTAAACTAGCAACACTTTTGCTAAGAAAAGTAGGAAGGTCTGCACACAGTCAAAAATAAAAATAACAATCAGGACTGTGTCCCGTATTGCAGATAAAAGGTTATAAGCAAGTTCAGTATCTGAAAAGTTTGAAAAACAACTCGCTACAAGAGAACTTTTGCCTTGCATTGGCGGTAACATAATTAAACAATGTTCAAGGTTATGGAATATGTTTGCGCTGATAATGTTATGGAGGCACTTTGGGACTGTTTGAAGTTAGCGTAACACATCTGAGAGCAATGCTACACATTTTAACGGACTTTTATTTTACAGTTATAGATTTAAATAATAATAATGGTAAGTCAAACTGTCATGAAACAATAGATCAAGTGTTCCAAATCAACTAGAATAATCACTTGCTAAATGAATGTCTTCCAAGCTCATTGTGAAAACTACATGTCATCTCTCATGCAACGCTTTGAAGGAAAGAGGAGGAGAAAGACAGAAATAGCATCTTAAGCATAAATGACTCAGATGAGTCTTACAATGGAGCAACTATATTATCAGTACTTACATGATAAAATAGAGCAGAGGATAGTCTAGCCACTAAGACCTCCACAAGCCTGTACAACTGAGCAAATGCCAACAAGAGAAGCACTGAAATGGGAAAGCTGAGTGAAGCAGATAAAAGCTGATCGTCCAAGATTATTGTAATGGCCAGTATGTAAATATTTCAGCACTGCATAGCTAATTACTTTCAAGGAGCTCCTAAGCAACAGGCTAACACACAAGTCTACTGAGATCTGCTACTGCTATATTGTACTCGTGGAAAAAATCCCTATATATACTGTACTGCCTCAAACTAATTAAAAGAGCTAAACTACAATTTGACATATAAAAATCACAGTTCATATTATGTAGGAAATAAGCTAGAATTTAGTTTTTCAAACTCTTACAATGTAGCAGTTTACTTGTTAAATATAACAATTTATATAGAAGAAAAGGACTTTTCCAAAAACTGGGATTCAACATTTTCTATCATGTTGCTTACCTAATTAGAGATTTAGTTATTTCTTTCACTTGTTCATTTAAACATTTTTCTAAATCTCAAGCTGATTCTGGTGAGCCTAGAATACAGGCACATCCATTAGAGACAGGAAAAATGAATAATTTCACTAGTCAATGGCATCTATTTGCCTTTGATTTTTTTTGCCCTGGCCACAATATCATTAAACTGAAGCTTTAAATTAAGAAGTATATTCCAATTTGGTTGTGTTATCTCACACTCTTACCTTCCACATAGTTCAGGAAAAGCAGCCCCGTTTTCAGAATGTTTAACACTGAATTGTTTAACACTGAAATCTTCTATGCTTCTTCTATCCTTTTTCTGTTCTAACAATATTCCAAATCTTTGCAAACTACCACATGATGGAAGGCGGTTGCTTTCACAATTCTTTATCTACCACTACCATTTCCTGTTGCAGTTGCTATATATTCTGCTTCTTGTGTAACCCTTTCTTATTTCCTACCAGGTTCAACATGAGTTTTCTACTGGACCAGTTTAAACCAGCTGTCACCAACCTGGGGCCCTCCAGAAGTTTGGGACTACAGCTCCTGCCAGCCCAGCCATGCTGATGAGAGTTTTAGCCCAAGAGATCTGGAGGGCACCAGGTTGGTAGCGGCTGGTTTAAATTAAATCAGAAGTGTGAAAAGGGAAAAAGCAAGCAAACTGCAAGAGTTTATAAAAAGTATATTTGATATTCAATTTGTTGGGAAGTTTTTACATTGTAGACACGCAAGTTATGAAACACTGCAAGGCTCTCCTCTACACTTTCTACTAAAATTCAGCTGCTTTTGTGGTTTAAATTAGGTGCTACCAAAAGAACAAAACCATCAAAGCATTTCCCTCTTTTTTTCTTTTTTGAGGGTAGGGAATTCTTCTGACAATATGTGCTCAAACCTCAAGTAAATCTCTTTTACACACCTTCCCAGTGGGGAAAATTGTTGATGTTTATTGTAAAAGCGAAGGGACACTCCTATTACCACTTACCTGTGATTAAGTCCCCCTGAACTCAATGGAATTACTTCTGAGTAGACATGTTTAGGATTGCAGTATTAGTTGGTTGTGAAGCTAGATGGCTGCCTGAGGAAATGCCCTTTGTTTAAGATTTGACCATTGCCAGTCACTATGTACAAAATTACTTACCGAAGTTCTATCCGGCTCCCCTTCAAAGCTAGTTGTCTCCATAATGAAGCAGAACTTGTCTTTCACTTAAAGTCCTTCCATTCTGTATCTATCAAGAAAAAACACACCTTAAATTAACTGTGAATATAGGTAACATATTGCAACTGAACGAATTACCTTTGATGAGTAACACAGCAGGACATATTGTTCACCACCAATACAATTTATTTCTAAAAATAAATAAGAAAGCAGTATTTGTAGATGATATGCTGCTGACTTTGTTAGAAAATAAAGAAAAGGTAGATAGGTGAGCAAATTTTGTTCTCCAAAGTATTTACACAATAGCTACCGTATTTTTTGCTCTATAAGACTCACTTTTTCCCTCCTAAAAAGTAAGGGGAAATGTGTGCGCGTCTTATGGAGCGAATGCAGGCTGCGCAGCTATCCCAGAAGCCAGAACAGCAAGAGGGATTGCTGCTTTCACTGCGCAGCGATCCCTCTTGCTGTTCTGGCTTCTGAGATTCAGAATATTTTTTTTCTTGTTTTCCTCCTCCAAAAACTAGGTGCATCTTGTGGTCTGGTGCATCTTATAGAGCGAAAAATACGGTAACTGGATACAGATCGCTATTCAGTAATAGGCTATGTGAAGATTATTTGACTCTCAATTTAAATCAGTAAGTTGATGACAATAAGCTGATGATACAATGAACAAGCTAGAATTGATTTCAGAATTCTTTGCAGTTCAGTGGTTGTCAAAGAGTGTGGCAAGCCACAATGGTGTGGCAGGAGGGGATGGCAAGTGTGGCGGGAAAATTGAAGGACAATCAAAGAAATATTTAATATAGCATATAGTATCAAAATAGTTGTTTTTTAATTTGCAGAATATGGATAGATATCTTTTCAAAATGAGAGCAAGAACATCAAGTGCAGGGCTGCCATACATTTGGGATTCATCCTCCGAAAATAGCATCCGGGCAGATTTCTCAGAAAGCGATTAAAATGTCCAGGAAAATCTGGGCACATGGCAGCCCTTTGGGGGGGGGGTGAATTTCCTAAAAAATAACTCAAAAAAACCTCAGCAATTTTTGTGTCTGGATTTTAACTTTTTGAAATATGGCAACCCTAACCAAGTGATGCTACAAGCTCACATCTCTCATTGAGTTTGTATAAATACTTAAGGTACATATGTAAGAGGCTCATTTATAATTATATTTTGGGAATGATTCATGCTTTATACTTTCTGGGTGTCCCAGGATATTACAAAGTAATTGTGTCCAGTGTTATAAATCAAGCACTGTTAGGAGCTGTTTCTTTTTGCTTTCCAATGTATTTCTTATCCATAAAAAAGTTGGTGTTGCACGAGCAAATTTTTTTTTTCTGAAAGCGTGGCCCAGAGAAAAAAGTTTGAAAACCACTATTGTAGTTGATGTTATTAGCTTTTGGGAAATCATGAAAGGACCTCTCCTCAAGACGTTATAGGAGCAAAAACGGGGGGAAACATAGAAAGCTGTTTTAACCATAATTGGTGCACTGGGAAGTTGGGGGTTACAACTGAGGAAGGAAAGGTCAACCCTTCTTCATCTGATGCAATCTCCATGAAAATAACACAGCCCTCCAGCAATTATGTTTTTTTAAAAAAGCTAAAGCTCCATGTGGTGTGGTAAGTGAAAGAGAGGAGGGGTGAGTGGGTGCTGGGGGGGGGTGGTTGTATGAATGCATGTGTGTGTACAAGAGAGGGAATGACCCCATCGACTTTTTGCATTGGGTGCGTCTAAAACAGGCATGTGGCCCCCAGGCTGAAAAAGGATTCCCATACCTACTGTAACCAATTTGCATATAAATCACTTCTGTTTAAGAAGTTTCGAAGTACCATTTCATCATCATTATCAATGCCAATTAAATTCCCACAATCCTGTATATGCCATCCTCAACAACTGGTCTACAGTATCTGCAGCCATGATGTGAACTGCTTGAAGAAATTGTGTTTTCCACTAAATTTTCTGTATTGAATATAAACAGTACTATCCAATAGTACTGAAAGCACAGCACACGGAAATTTTTTGCCGTTGTAAAAGAACTACTGACAGTGACTAGTGCTGGGAAAAGTTTATAAACCCACCCCTCCCCTATAAAAGAAGCCAAAATAATTTGGTTATTGATGTTAGCAACAACAGAAATGCCATAACAGAAATAAGATTCTTTAAATCCTTAAGATCAAAGAAGCAAGATGGTAAAAGAAACACATCCCAGCAGGAAATGTTTCTTTCATTCTCTCTAATAACACACAAACTTCTAGATAGATAGAGACAGATATCAAAAGCCTGTTTGCATCAATGTATTTGAGCAATGCCAGGACAAAAACAAATCAATAAAAATCTACGCAACTAACAACCCAATCATATGTATATTTACTCTGAAGTAATTTACTTCCAAGGTGCCAGTGCACATAGCATTGCAGACTGAGGTCCAGTTGCAGTATAAAGATCCAACTCCAATGAACCACTGTTTATCAATTCAGGAACAAGCCTTGTACCTTTCTAGTTATTCCTTCCCACCTTCCATCATACACTCAACATTGATTAAGATACCTGGTTTGTGAAGCCACAGTTTCTTGTGTTGTCTGAACCATGAAACAGTAGTTTTAAGGCTTCCGCCAAATCAAGACCTGAAAGTAGAATCAGATCCTGGTTTGAAATGAGGTGGTTTTTTTTTTGTTCAAACTTCCTAGAAAACTGTGGATTAAAGAAACCAGGAAGATTCCATCAATGGTGGACACACAAAGGGAGAGGGAAGCGTTAGGAAAAATATGTGAACACTATCATTATCAGATGAAGATACTAATGTCTGCACTGGGCCTAAAGAAAACTTCAGCTGAATTTAACTTTTAGAGGTAAGGCCTCATACTTACTGCACAGAACAGGCAAAGCCCTGATTATTTTGTTCCGAACAGCAGTGGAAGCCACGGTAATGTTAGCAACTCCCCCACCCCACCCAGCAATGTGTAAGGCTACAAGTTCATGCATCCATGCATTTTGCTGTAACTCCACCACAGTTCAACCACAGGATCTACCCCCATAGGTTATCTATGTAAAAGAAGAAGGAGGGGGTGAATTTGATACTGCCTTCTGGAATATACCAAATCTACATGGCCACCAAAATGAAATTTGAATTAAAATATACATACTAAAATAGAATGGCCAAATTTCATGTTATTTCAAAGTTTTAAGTTTAGTCATTTGCTTAGGACACAGGACTTACACATTTGGGGACAGCAAAGGGTAGGGATTCATTGGTTTATTCCAGCCTCACATTTAAACCACAAAATCTATACCAAAATATGTATTTTAAAATGTATTTAATCTCAGTGTATGCATTCTAAACATATTTTATTTTAAAACATGCATTTATAAAATATGTTTACACTTTATAAAGCTGAGAACTGTATCGCAATATTTAAAGAAGTGCAAAACCTGAAGATACTTATATTCCAATCAGTGTATTATTCCAGGGGCTGTGATTTAAGTCAATTTGCTTAAAATGTGGGTCAAATGAAGTCTCCACCATCCCCAGCAAAGGACTTCAAAATAGTCACTGCTCGGTCATATAACACATATTTCTTCTCCAATCAGTTACAGAGAGAAAATTCTGCAGGCAAAATTTTTGGCTGTATATTCTAAAAATAAAGACAATTCTAAACAATGATACATGTTCTCTTAGCCAAAGATATTTATGCTTAACTTCACTTAGATAGAAATGTAAAATTCAAATTTATAAATGGGGGGGGGGGAATACTACACTCACTTATCCAACAGATGGGCATTTACAAGTATTTTCCTCATTCAGCAATTAAGGCTTAAGTGAGAAGAAAATGAAGTAACACCTCCAACGCTTTCAACATGCATCTGCCACCTATTTCTATATACTGTTTATAATTAACCTGCATAATCATTCAGTCCAAAACATGAAAATGCAAATTGTCATATTGTATCTTCAGAAGCAGAGGAAGAGATATTTAAATTCTTTCCCTATTCGGGCCAATTCCTAACACCATAGTAAAAACATCTTTTGTCAACCAGAGGTTGCAATATGTAGCAATATGTATTTACTGTGAATCCCATGGCTTACCACGTTTATGAAACTTGCATGGTCATCTTATCCATTTAGTACTACGGAAGTCTGCATAATTACAATGTTTCTCATTCACTCAGATGAGACGTATAAGCTCATTTACTCAGAGTAGTTTTCAAGCAAAAGTTGCTTCTCTCTTCACAATCTTCCATTTTTAAAATGTTTTTTACTGAGCTTTTAAACAACAACATACGAAAAACAGAAATCTAAAAATGATATCCAACAGTCTCACACGAAGGAAAGTTACCATAATATAACCTTCCCTGTTACCTGGCAATAATGTTACTTCCCTTTCCTTAAAAATCACAAATTCTGTGTCAAAGTACTCTTGCAGTCCACTTGGTATGAAAAGTTGGGCCAACCTGATATAGTTAATTCAGAAATAAGCAGCCCTAGTGGTCAAATAATTTCAGTAAAGAAGACATGGCTGCTTGTTTTTCTCACTACTGTACTATAGTTTATTTAAAGTCAGTCCCTTATGGGCTTCAAAATGACCCAAGGAACTACAATGAGCAAGCTTGATTTGAATGCCGCAAACAAGTTAAATAAATGATTAAACATGGTGTCTTTGGAGTCGTACCCCACAAATCCATTCAAACTGTTATAATGGAAGCAGTAACAATGTGAGTAAATGTGGGAAAGTCAGAAAGTAGTTATTTCTGACAAAACTCCTACATTGTGGCTATAGTATGCAGCATAGCTTCATTTTCAACACAACTGCATTTTCAACACAAATAACTGCTGAAGTATTAGATGTTAAAGCTTTTACACTATCACAGATCAAAGTCAGCAATGCTTCATAAATGAGCAATTCAATTTATTACTGTAAAAATATTACTGATAAAAAGAAGGTAAGACTATAAACAGGAACTAGCTTTAAGGAAGATAATATTACCAATAAATGATATCACCCCTTTGGATAAACTACTGGAAAGGCTACTAATTAAGGTAGCCCTGTTACAGCCTTGGGCTTCTTTGGAATTACTGAAAATCAAGCTTTCCAGTTTATCAAGAGAAATAGAAAGGTAAGAATGAGAGGCTGTTATGTGTTAATTGGGCAATGAATCAGAGTACCAAATCACAGAGATACTTTGTGACAATAATGTTAAGCAGTCATTCCAAAAAGGCATCCCATATGCTATGTGCAAGGAAGTACTTTGTATATATGTCACACATTCACGATATCCCATTTCTAGGAGCTCCACTACCCTGTCATGAAGGTGGAGAGCAGAATTCCTATGCCCATAAAGATGATCACTTAGCAACCAAGTGGCAAAGGGAAATTCCAGGAGGACATTTACATCTCCTTTGCCAAACAGTAAACTGACTCTTCATAACAACTCCAGCATGGCATGCGGCAGCTCCCACAATAAGCTGAGAGACCAGGAGGCTTGTAGCAATATGCAGCTTCTATTTTCAGGCCAAATCATTTAACAGATAAATGTTTGAACAAAAAAGAGACAATGCCAAACTTAATGTCTCAGGATTGCTCAGCTGCAAAGCACACTGCTTTGTATCCCATAGCTCATAATCATACGCTTTGAGGGGGTTTTTTGTTTGTTTTTTAAATACAATCAAGCAGTATATAATGTTTGTGAACCAGATAAATAGGTTTTACCCCATTAAGCAGCCATTTTGCTTGGGTTAAACAAAAATGAGCTCCTCTCATATTTCAGAGTTCAGGACAAATCACACTGCTTTTTACTCTTCACCATACAGAGATACTATGAAGGAGTAAGGGATGCGGGTGGTGCTGTGGTTTAAACCACTGAGCTTCTTGGGCTTGCTGATCGAAAGGTCAACAGTTCGAATCCATAAAAGGGGGTGAGCTCCCGTTGCTATGTCCCAGCTTCTGCCAACCTAGCAGTTCGAAAACACACCAGTGCAAGTAGATAAACAGGTACCACTGCAGCGGGAAGGCCGCTCCCTGCAAGGCCCTTTCCACCTGGCCTAGGGGGCGGGGCCCACACCTACCAGCCCCACAAAAGAGGCTCCTCATGAGGCCAGAGGAACATCACCCGGCTATTGTTTCATTGATTTATTGATTTAGTATGCTGTAAACTGCTTTGAGATTTTTATTAAAAATATAAAGTGGTATAGAAATTAAAAAATAATAATATAATAAAATTAAGTAAACGACATTTCCGCGTGCTCTAGCTTCCGTCACGGTGTTCCGTTGCACCAGAAGCAGTTTAGTCATGCTGGCCACATGACCCAGAAAGCTGTCTGTGGACAAACGCTGGCTCCCTTGGCCTGATAGTGGAGATTAGTGCCGCATCCTATAGTCGCCTTTGGGTGGACTTAACTGTCCAGGGGTCATTTACCTTTACCTTACTATGGAGTAAAGTCCAAGCTGTGGACATGATGAGCAGGCTGCAAGAGATATAATGGCAACAAGACAGCACAAGAACTGCCTAAGTGAGTCTCCATTTTTTTATTGTATTGTTTAATTTCACTGCACACAGGTGGTGTAGTGACATTAAAGGTTTCTTATTATTATTATTATTATTATTATTATTATTATTATTATTCTGAAAAGTTTCACTAACAACAAAAAAGAACATGGAAGTCTCTTGCAGTGAACTGGAGACTTTCTGCAAAGAAGAAACAACCATACCTCTAGGCAGTTTCTTGAGCAACCTGCGAACATTTTAGACAAATTCAAACAATCTGTATAACCTTTGATCCTGCTTGTTCCTGAAAATACATAGCTGTGGGCAAACTAGTGAGCAACTCACAAAGTCTTTCCTAGCAGAAACTGAATACCACTGACAAAATATTGCACTATGTTAGTGAGGTCTTGGCACAGCCTTTCTCTTAGCCACTGAGGATTTTAATAATAGAATAATAAAACCATCAGCAGATAGCAGAATTGTAAGAATTAAAGATTTTTAAAAGATCAAGATAAATAAAAGATCTTTAGTACCAAAAGGTCATTAAATTTGACATCAGATTAGCATATCCAGGGAGAGAATGCCCCACACAGCACCTCTGCTGCAAAAGCCTTCAGATAAAGAGCAGCTGGGGAAAAGAAGGGGGAATTAATGTGTAGGATTAGGAGATCACTATTACCACAAATGCTACAAATTATAGATTTATTCTACTCTGCCTCCAATAATACACACCAAGATCCTTTAAATGGCCAGTAACCACTTTCTTTCACTTCTCTAACAAGTGGGCAAAGACAGTAAAATAAAAGCAGAGTCAAGATGAAAACGAGAGAATGGAAATGAAACAAGAGCAGCTAACATATGCAGAACAAGACACCATAGCAGAAACAGGATAGTAGGAAGCAAAAGGTAGTCACCACTGCCTTCAACTTTACAAATCCTTAGTCAACAACTAGCTTTATTACAATTTTAAACAGAGGAACAGAACCACATAACAATGACTTCACTAGAAGGAGAACCTCCAAGACATACTTTTAAGATTGTCTAAAAGCTACTTGCTTTGGAGCACTTTTTCTGGAGTGCAGCTATATATCCTGATCCCCATCATTGGACTTGGAACTCACACTGTCACCACAAGCAGGTTGTTTAAAGCTTTTATTTAGCAATTCAGTACGGCGCACAAACCTGAGCCTACAGGTTACAATGTCATAAAGCACAGAAGACCTCTAAGGTGCATGACTAGGTATTGCTAAGACGTTTATCCAACAAGTGACACATATCCTAGACTCTGCTTTTGAATGCATGGGCATGACTATTTGTGCAGCAAGCAGCCCAAGTCTGAAGACTGGCCAAGCACGCCTCTGAGCAGACTGGGCATGCAGCACTGGCATGAGTGAAGATGAAGATGAAGGCATCAAAGCTGGCTCACTATCCATTTTCTACCCAGGTGCCTCTCTCAAAGCAGACAGCCACTCCCTCACAGGAAAAGGGACTCAAGCCAGCTCACTTGCAAGTACTGAAGCCTTCAGAAGGCCCACAGGCAATTCACAGATCCCTCCTGCGGATCTGAACCTCTTCATCCCCCCACTTCCTGTGAACCGCCCACTTCTTGGGTTCCTGAATCATCAATCCCCAACCCACTAGAGCCCTTGTCCAGATTGGATTCCTCCAGGTCCCTGAGCTCCTCCCATTCTTCCTCTGAATGATACCACCTTCTCCAGGAATTCTCCAGATGACTCAAAACACCATATGGACTTGGGCCTTCTTTGTGGTAGCTTCCTCAATTGTGAGATCCACTTGCCTTACTTCTCTTACCTCTCACACAGTTGATAAAGCAAAATAAAAAAATCAAGAAGGCTGTCAGTTGCTACATTTTAATGAGTTTTATAGACAGCTACTTCATTTTTACTTGTAAGTGATTTAGTTTAGAGTTAATGTATTTTATTTGTTTATTTGTATAAACATTTCACTATTTTTGTAAGCCACTGCAATAATATTCCATGTTAGTTAACATAATAAATAAATAGGGTGAATCTATTAGCATAACATAAAATTATCTGTGTATATTGCAGCACATGCAGCTCAGTTTGCAAACCATCACACGCCTTTTTTCTGCTTTCCACACTTAAAACTAATGTTTTTAAACTGGCAACAAGCCTCCTTACTGCTATATGAATCTGCAGTTTGAGCAACAGTGCTGCAGAATCTTTGATAAGATATCATAACAAGTGTAAATTTTTCTAAGTAATCTATGCAAGTCAGCCAAGGCAACTATTTCCCAAATTATTTCCAAAGGCGGCAAAAGCAGAATAAGATCTTGAAGCCCTGATAAATAGAGTAAAGTAAGTTTACAGACAGTCCTCAAAGCACTTGTACAGATAGAATCCCCAAAGGAAAAACCATTTGAGAATTGTAAGCATATGCTGAGAAATTTGAAACTAAATCAACACTTTAAAGGATGGGAGGAAAGTAGAGGAATACAAAATAATATTAAGACAAGGAATGCATGGTTCCAAAGGCACTCATACACTCTAGTTTGAAGAAAATTTGCCTGGTAACTCTGCATATGAAAAAGAGTAAACAATAGAACAGTGGTGCTATATGTGGCACACTAATTTACCTCTGACCACTAGAGAAAACTATTATGCAAAAATATTATCTGAAAACCATAATATTTAGGGAATCAGGAACAAATCTAGGTAACTACATATTTTTAAATGAAATGTTACATTTTATATCAGATAGTAATCTGACCTATGTAATTCAGTGAAAGGGGTTTTTTTTAATGCATATTTGAATTGCACACTCTAGACGACTGAGCTGCAGTCTAAAATTAAACTAGCATATTGTTCTGTTGGCTGCTACAGATATTTGCACAGCAGTGAAACCAACCAATATTTGTTTTTGGTTTAGAGTTCTGTTCTTCAGAGAGCCAAGATCCAGTTGCATCCTTTTGGGGATTCACAAAAATGCCAGCAAGGTAAATAAAGAAAACAAATCACTTGTAGTATATGTGCAACATATGTGCAATGACTAGTTTTCATGAGATTTTTTTAGGACTGAGGGCCCTTGAAAAAATGTAAAAGTAAAATTACTCCACAGGAAACGAAAATAATGTTTGCAAAATTTCTAATGGAATTAGAATCATTTTACAGTGAAAAAGATTTTTAAAAAACCCTGCATCTGTCAAGACTCCCAGATATATTAAAGATAGTGTGCAATAGAAAAGCAATTGTCAGCAGACAAACTTTCCAATCATAAGCTGATTCCGACATACTTGAAAAAGTAGAACTTGGAAAAAGGATACTGGAGGTAGAGTCACAGATTAAATCATACTCAAACTGAATTTGTACAAGGAAATCCTGTCTGCTCTCAAATGGGAAAGAAAAACGTTTTTTCTATACGGGAGCAAAATCACTGAGATTTCTGAGAAAGGCAGCCCAGTGGGGAAAGATATACCTCAGAAAGACATTCAATAAAGAACGAAAAAATCTTTACTGCAATAACTGTTACTAAAGAAATGAGGCAGCAGGGAGAATAGAAGGAAGACAGTAAATGCGGGGCAAAGGAGATAAATGCACATATTACTGAAGGACTTATAGCTCTTTCCAACAGTCAGCCCTCAAGCACCTGGGCAATCACAGAAACAGAACTATACACTTGCATGCACGCACTCAAAATCCTGTCTCTTGTACAATGATTTTGAAGACAACCACATATATTATAAATGTCTATGCTGAAGTATTCTTCCACAGCTGTATGGTCTCTGTAGTTACAAAAAACAAAACAGATGACGCAGTCTCCTTATTAAATTCAATAAACTTGTGTTGGCATGGAAATGTGCAAGTTTTTTAGTTACACAGAACCATGAAGCAGAAGTGATCTAGATCACAAGTTCACAAAAATCAGGATTAAGGTTTTAATCACTTTAAACTGGCCTCTTCACAAAACAGTATTAGTTGACCAGACTAAAGAGATTTGTGTATGTAAATAAGCTCCATTTTTTACAGCCCAATTCAAGGTGCTGGTATTTACCACTGAAACCCTAAACAGGGCCAAGATATTTGAAACACTCCCTTCTTCCATATGAACCTGCCTGTTGGATAAAATAATAATCCAAGACACTGCTGTATACCCTACCACCAATAAACGGTTAGTTAGCAGAAATATGGGACAGGGCCTTTTCTGTGGCAGCACATTGCTATGGAATTCTCTTACAAGGGAAGCTAGACGGTCTCCATCACTGGCCCCCATGACATTAGGGTGGGCTATGTATTTTTTATTCTACTTGCCTTTTGTTTTTTTAATTTGAGACTGAAAGTTTAACTCTGCTCTCTTTGTTTTTGATATTCTAATCCTGATATTGTTTAAATTGGTTTTTATTTCATTTTGACTTTTGTAACCTGTCTTGGGGCCATTATTAGGGAAGAAAGGTAATATATCCACAAATAAATAAATGTTTGGTGTTATATACATCCTAGATGTTGTAACAGAAGACTTCACCGGATCATGGACACAATACAGTAATCGATGCTGTTTAATTTATAAAAGGTGAGCCAGTGGCAATGAACCGCCAGAAACTGAAGCTAGCCTCATTTCCAGAGTGAAGCACGAGCAGTCGGCAATGTGGAAAATGGGATTTAAAAGATCCCAATACTCCTTACCTGCTATCGTCACTGCTGATAATTCTCTTTTCCCCACCCCTATTAAATTTCCTTTTGTCTTTTTCCTTTCATATGCCCCACTGCATTTTTTATGTTATTTTTAAACAGCAAAGTATCCAGAAGCTAGATTCTGGTGAGGTTCCCAAATAAAAGGCTGTAAATTCTTGCACTTGCAACCTACCTCAAGTTGGTGACACTGCCAGTAAAAACAGCCCTGCCTCTACAGATTCATGCAAACAGAGACCTGTTCATTGCCACGACAACTGGCAAATTATGTATGCATGCATCATGCTGGATTCACCACAAAAATATATCCTCCTGCACCTGCAGTGAGTGCAAAAGACATGTTGATGTTTGCTAGGATAGAAGTGGCATCAGCACAGGGGAGGTTATTTTAAACAGTCAAACCAACTATAGAGTATTCTTAAACCTGGCTTGGTACTAAAAAATTGCCCAATCTTGCCAAACACAACTGCAGGCCATATCCAGAAAGTCAAACTGGTCCTCTGACCTTGCAACAACTCATCCTTTCCTCAGATGTTTTACAACTCATTTTTTCCATTATTTTCTGTAGCTGCAGAATTTCTGAATGGTGCAAGGATGCACCACAGAACTTCTATTGATTCAACTCTGTTTCTATGTTATAACACCAATCACAAAATCTAAAGTGTGAACAGAATCATGGCCTATTTAGAAACATGTTGTTGGCATCTGTCTGTCTCCAAAGACAATAAAGTGCACCTCCGGGGTTGAAGTCAAACTGCTGCGTTAGCAGCACCTGAGTGACCTCCCTGGGATGCACGCCTGAACAGTGTGTATGGAGGTCCTGGGCTGTCCAGAAGAAAAGATCCCTCCTCTTGGCCTTGATGATGTGGTCCAAAGGAAAGGAAAGCAATACGTTTAATAATAATTTTTATTTATACCCCTCCCTCCCCAGCCAAGGCCGGGCTCAGGGTGGCTAACAAGCAATTATAAAAACAAGTTGAATGAATGGAGGAGGCGTACAAGGCGCCATCCAATTGTCTTAGGGACTCCACTCCAGATTTGTGTAGAATTTACTCCTTAGCCTTTTCATCTCCCAAAGAAAGCAGCAGAAGTTTAGAATCAGTTTTCCTTCTCCTAGATGGGTTACCTTCCCTTCCCTTCCCTTGACAAGCCCCATTTGTCACTCACTTCCCTCTGCTGCCCATGAAGAAACAGCTTTCTTGACCACTGGACCCGTTATTGGTCTCATCCTCTCAATCCGCTGGAGCCTGTCTTTGAATGCAGGGGAAGTCCCTAACTCACTGAGGGTTTGAGACACATCAGTTATACTCACCTGGTTTAGCAGGCCAGTTGAAGCTGGTCCCTGGATGTGGCCACTGTCACATGCTGACAGCTTCTAGGAGCCACAGGTGAGAACTGAATGCGGGGTGGGGACAAAGGGCACAACATGTCCCAGTAGAGGTAGTATTTTCCACCCCATATACCCCTTCAGAAACAAGCACTATATAAATTAGAGGTATATGCTGGCAGGTAAATTTGCATAGAACCAACTAGAAATTGCATTCATAATTATTTAGGAGCACATAATACATACCTATCCTCAGAATAAATAACCCAGCTGCTGTCATACACTCAGACTCCTAGTAAACAACTGACCAACCCACTTGCACAGGGTTGACTAATTGGAGGAAGGAAAGCAAGTACTGAAAAATCCATGTCAAGTTGTGGGACTTGCCAATTATTGGCAATGACAACAACAAGGTAGGGTGTGATTACTTTGCAACTTATATGGCACCACCCTATTACCTGCCTGGTTTTCTTGCTTAAGCCTCTTGCAGCACCTTTCAATTCCCCTCCACCCCACAAATTGGTTACATATCTATCCCTTAGCAGCTCTGCAGAGGGGCAGGGTAACTGGCACCCTTAGTTATAGGTGGAGGAAACCAGGGGGAAACTGCCTGATTGCCCTCTATTTACAGGAAGTTACTGAAAACACGTGTTCTAAACCTAATATATAAATATGATGAATTCAAGTAGAGTACGGCACATTAAAATGTGCCTTGTCAGGAACCTTTATCCACCTGACCTATTGTTACAGACATAAAACCCACGTGGGCAAGACCAGAGAGCAAATATAAGAATTAGTACTCACTCCCAGTAGTTGCCAGTTTCCATCGCTTCCACCCCGGCTCCCTTGGGCCACAACAGCTCTTTAACTTTTTTTTTATGACAGCAGCACCGGCAGGAACGGAGTCCCCTCTCGCCTCCGTGGCTGCTGTCAAAACCGCCAGGGCTGGGAGACGTGCCCAAGGTCACGCCGCGCCAGCGCCCAACCCGGGACCCCCCTCCCACAGACGCTCGTCTGAATGCGCAGGCCCCCCACCCCCGCGTCTTCCCCACCGCCGCGCATCCTCACTCTGGGCCAGCAAACGCCCAATGGGACAAGGACGCCCCACGGCTCGCCAGGGCAACGCCCCCCACCCCACCCCACGCCCGTCCTTCTTACCTCGGTTCCCAGGGGTCCCCGGGCGAAGGGGCGGAGTGACCCCCTCCGTCCCCCGGACCCGCCACCCCCGGGGAGATGGGCCGGGCCAGAGCGACCAGAGATGGCTTGAGGAGGAGAAAAGCGGAACGCCGCTGAGGGAAGCGCTGCCTCCGCCGCCGCCCCCCCCCTCACGCCGCCGCTCGCGCTGACTGAAGCCGGTCGGCCGCGCGCCCGCCTGCTCGCTCTTTTCCCCCTCCCCTCCTCACTCTTCCTCGCGGACTCGCTGCCGTTGCAGGTTCGGAGTCGCCGCTTGATGCTCTCATCAACGGCCGCCGCGCTAACCTCTCTATCGCCTCCTGCGCACAGACCCTGCTGTGGAAGGGGACCGGCGCGCCGAGGGCGGGAGGGGGTGCCTTTCGCGCGCAACCACGCCCTTCTCGGGGATCACGTGATAGGGGATCCTGGGCACGGCGCTGAGGTAACAGGCGGAGACGCCGCCCTCTGGGGTTTTAATTTTTTTTAATCCGCTGGTTCTGCAGAGCTACATGCAGGCCTCGCGCTGTGGGCCCGCCCTTTTTGCCTCCCGGTGTCCCTGCGCAGAACAGCCTGGCAAGAGAATACGTACTTGGCCCCAGTTCACACGCACGCATATAAACACACGCGCTCTTTTATTTCCCCAGGGCCAAGCAGCTCAGGACTTCGGGGCGGGGGGCCGGTGCGCGTTCAGGGCGCCACCCCATAGACAGAAAAGGCATTTTTTTTGAGCTTTTGCTGCAGTCGTCGCAGCAGGATATTTAGCCCAGATCATCACACCCCCGTCTCCCTCCCATCAGGGTTGCAACCTCTGGAACTGCATTACTAGGCATTACTAGGGAAGATGTGGAATAAGCTCAAATAATCGTAATCTTTTTTCCATTAGTTTTCTTCCATTAAAACAATGTTTTATGTAAGATCAGCTCATTCATCCGGGACAAGAAATTATGTTAACAACTTAAACGTCTGGTTCTGCAACTATCCCTTCTGCTTCCTATACATAGCTGAAATCTTTATCGGAGTTCTTCGTGTTTGATCTTGCAGCCCCCTCCCTAGAAACTTTTTAAAACACTGCATTTTTCGGACAAGCTGCACTAATTTGGAAGCATACCCTTTGGATGCGTGATTCTCTACACTGCCCCCCACGCCTACTTTTATATGTAGCTTAATAGCTAAATATACTTGTGTAATGGACATGGATGGCTTAGTGATGGCTGCTTAAGACTAAAAGCTTGAGAAGAGTTATGTGTGCTTAAGCCTATTGAGTTCAGCGGGTTTAGGCACACCTCTCTTGATAGGATAGGCTTGAATTGTACACCATAGTTGGTGACTGACTGACTGATTGATGGTTGTTACTTACTGGACACCCACCTACTGTGGTGCAGTTTGTAGAAATAAAGTTTCACTAAGTTTTCGTTCTTCGAGATGGGCTACCAAGTTGAATTTTTGTAGAAGGCTTCCAGAAAGGGGTGGGGAGAGCTCCAAGAGAATATTTGCTTTCTTACCACTTTTATTGGGCTAACTTATACTGCTGAAAGCAGCTATACAGAATTGAAATATAGAGACAAGGATGTGCCAGCTGATCGTAAAGCATATATGGTGAGTGGGTGTTTTTAGTGTTTCCACTAATATGTGAAGGGAAAAAATTAAGAAACTGCTCCTTCCCTGCTCACAAGCACTAGCTTAAGTGAGGCTGACTTTACATAACATGTAGAAGAGAGGCTGGATCTAAACGTAGTAGTAGGAGGTGGTAAAATGAACTACCGTGCCAGGTTGCAGTTAGAGCAGCATCCCCAACCAGGTACCCTCCAGATGTTTTGGACTACAGCTGGCATCAGCCCCAGCCAGCATGGCTAATGGTCAGGGCAATGGAAATGGTCCAAAACATCTGGAGGGTCCCTGTTGAATAAGGCTGAGATAGAAAATTACATCCTGGACAGCTTAATAGGATGGGTTGTCACAGCTTTTACTGTGAACTAAAATGTTGCTTGACACCTATAGACTCATAACTCAGAAAACTGTTCTGCGTTTTTGGCCTTTATAACAAGCTTTCCAGCTCAGCAACCTTTTCAGTAAGCATTTTTCCGTTTTTCCTTTGTGATATGACTGCAGCACAAAAGCTTCATTATCTGATTCTAATGTTTGTTTACATCACAGTTCTGTTCCTTGAAGACAGGTTTTGCTGTCTTCGGTGTATTTTATTAATAATTCTTCCCTTAGAGCAAACCTCTATAAATAAAACTCCTACTTAAAAGAAATATTCCCAAGAGTCAGACATTAAATGCTCTCCAAGTGTAAGATTTCAATAGATTTGCTAACTCCCTATCTTTAAACGGCTTCGGCTTGTGAGCTATGGAGGGGGAGAAGATGGTCAATGAATCTACCTTCGCTGTCCCAGTTATCTTGTCTTCTAGATGGAAGTGGAATACAGTGGAACCTTGGTTCTCAAATGGCTTAGTTGATGAACAAATCGGAACCCAAACGCTGCAAACCCAGAAGGAGATGCTTTGGTTTGGAAACTTTTTTCGGAAGCCAAACGTGCTATGCTTCTGTTCTGAGTGCTTCTGCTGAAATCTGTCGGCTGGCGAGTCCTGAGCACCCATGCAACACAGAGGTGATATTTGGAGCTTATATTTGTTGATTTTGTTTTTGCAACTTTTTCGGTTTATTTGTTTTTGTGACTGTGTGGAACCCAGTTCAGCTACGGTATTTTCAGAAGCACTCTTGCAATTTGATTGTGTGACTGTGCGGAAATGGATAAAAGCTGCAAAACCAAGAGACCCATTAACAGAACAACAAGTCCATGGGCTTGCAAGTGAGTAGTGATGATGTGGAGGAGTTAGTGAAGGACCACAAAACTGAGCTCACCACAGAAGAACATCAAAACATTCTGATGGAGCAGCAACAGACAGCAACTGAGGAAATATCTTCAGAGCAGGAGGAGAGCAGAAAAAGTGTATCTACTGCAATGATGAAAGAAATGCTTGCAAAATGGGCTGACATGCAAACTTTTGCTGAAAAATATCACCCTGATAAAGCTGCTGTAATTCATGCCACTTACACTTTCAATGAAAATGTTATGTCTCACTTTAGACAATTTTTAAAACATTGGAAAAAGCAACTCTCAATTGAATTTTTTTTAGTGAGGAAAAGAATTAGCAGGTCTGAACCAGATGTCAGTGGTTTAAAAAAAGCAAGGGAAGTAACGGTAGGAGAAGAGTCACCGATTGTGATTCTGGAAGAGGACCCCGACCCCCCATCCAAACAACCAATCATCAGTGCAGGAAAGAAAAAATTACATTTTCATTTTTATCATGTACAATACCGTTTTATTTATTTTACGGTACAATACATTGTTTATTGCTTTCATTTTATGGATCACTGGTCTCGTTAGATAGTAAAATTCATGTTAAATTGCTGTTTTAGGGGTTGTTTTTTATCGTCTGGAACGGATTAATCCATTTTGCATTACTTTCTTTGGGAAACGCACTTTGGTTGTTGGACGTTTTGGAAATTGAACGGACATCCGGAACGGATTTAGTTCGAGAACCAAGGTACCACTGTACTGTTTTCTCAAGAGGGTGTGAGACAAGGATGGACTATTAGATGCACAAGTAGAAATTGCTAAATATATTCACTTGTGAGCTTTTAAAGGGCTTTTGAGAAAATAGTTGGGCAGGGCTCACTTTGTTGTTCTGTATGCCATTTAGATGTTGTTTATACTGTATCAGTTCAACCTAAGGAGAAAATTGGACAGCCCAGCAACCATTGATATTTGGAATTCATTCAGATCCTGTTCCTTAGGAGACACTACAAGCAAGTTTTAAAATAAATTGTACATAATATTTTGAAATTAAAAGGCTGTTAAAAATAGTTCCTTGATGTTTAGCTTTGGCTAACCTATTTACATTAAGTAAGTTGTAGAGGAGTTGCTAACAAATATCTGCATGGGTGTTCTGCTCTCATCTAGTAGCTCAAATGATGCAATGCTAATCTTCTAATTGAGAATAATAATGTTTATGAAACTTCATTAGAAACCTAAATACTTAACCATACTACTTAAGTGAAACTGATCAGAACAAAAGCAAGCAGGAAACCGGACAGAGCAATTCTCTTCTCACATTGCACCAGAACCAGACATACACTAAGCACAATGCCAGATGAGCAGCTCTTACATTCAATGCATGCTAAGTCTGGGAGAGGAGGATGAAAACACGCAACCAGAAAATCAAACATTTCCACAGCCCACCAGTCAGGGACTGTTCCAGCAACATAGCCCACATGCAACACTGAAATGAACTCTTTACAGTGGGAATATGTCCCCAGTGTCATAACACACAGCAAGCAAATATTGCCAGAGCACCTACAATTCATCAACCCTAGTGGCAATGCCAACAATACTGCTTTCAATTCCAAAGCACCCTTACAAGCATTCCAGTCTTCTTCACGCTTCTCACAACCACAACTTTGGAGCAAAAGAGAATAAGAGAGGAATATCTCCCGTTGCACTGAATGCAATGATTTGGAATTGAATTTTTTTCTCCTGGGTCTGGGGCTAGTGTAAAGTCATACCTTTGAGGAGGGTGTGGCTGAAGACTGAACATTTGTGGGTCCCATGTAAGTGTACTCCTGCCTTGTGCCACTCGGTGTTGTGTATGCCAGGGGGTCCTGTGTTTCATTGTAATGCTTTTTGAACCTCTTTAGCTCCTGTGCTTTGCAAGCCTCAGAGCTCCAAGGCGAGGCCTTTTTTGCAGTCTCGTTTTATAGCACTAAATGACAGTTGTGTTTAAGAGGCCTGCTACTTCATCATGACACACTCATGACTCCATTTTCTGCCAGCTGAGTATTTCAGCTGTAATCCCTCAGCCAACAGATCTTCAGTACTGTATAAGATTGATTAACAAAAGTAGAAGGGACTGTTGCTGTGTTGGGCGCATTCATTAATTCTATCACAAAGTAGATTCCATTCTCTTAACATTGCTGGCTTGAGTGGATTAAAAAACATGAGTCTTAGAGCAACTGTTAAAATAATTACTCATAATGAAGGAAGAGCAAAATTTAGTTCACATGACAATAAAGAAATCACATTAGACCTGAGTGGTGTGATTTCATCTCTTTATTTCATAAGCATGAGTTACACTTCTAACAAAAGCACAATATAATTAATTTATTTATAGACCCTGGCAACACAGAACTGAGAACCCAAGAGCCTCAGCCTTTCAGATCCTGAAATGTCAAAATCTAATACATAGAATTTTTCAAAGTAGTTAGACTGTGTGGATGAGGATCAGTGGGAAGAAGACAACCAGCAGCCACAACTACTTAAAAATACAGCTGGAAACCACCCTATTAGTCAATCCATGAAACAAATTGACCTACACAATATAAAAACAGATTTCCTTAAAAGTGGGGGAAATGTGCTTTTGACTGGCAACAAATACATACATAATCCCCCTGTTCGCCTTTTCCACTGAAAAGGCTATGTGCTAAATTTGCCTGTTTGGGGAAGAGAACTCTCCTGTGGCTTTGAAAAACACAAGGCAAGCAGAATATAACAAGTGAGTTTTTGTCTCCACTTCATTTTTACACTAGTAAAACCTATGCCTGTTCTAATTTTGGTTTGGTGTGGCTAGTAAAGGCAGAGGGAAGGCCACTGGCTGCCCTCATTCCAGGAATATCCCAGTGGTGAGTGGACACAGCTTTTACAACCCAATTCTGTGTATGCTTACTCAGAAACAAGTTCCACTATGTTCAACTAGGCCTATTCCCAGGTCAATTTCATTGGATTGCAGCCATAGGAAAGGGAGAAAGGCCTTGAGTGCACAGTCTCCCTCGCTAAGACTTAATGCTTCCTTCCGTAAAGCTTTCGTAAAGCTCACTGAAGGAAAATACATTATTTAGGAACTTCCAATGTGGCAGTTAATATTTGCTAGCTAACCCTGAACTTTTACAAAATCCAGAATTAGCACTAATACAGCAGCATACCCTTTGATGTGGGACAACCACAGTTAAATCCCTTTAGATTCCATGACTAACTTGGCAATGTGTTGAAACGCTTTGTACTAATAAAACAGGGATTGTTGGACCCCAAACCATCATGAGGTCTAGTGACAAAGTAGAAAAAAAATGTAAATAAATACTTCTTGGGCTCAAGCTTCATTCTCTGTTGTGCTTTTGCGTTCTTTTATCTCCCTTGTTGTACTAATTTGCCACTATGAAAGTCCTGCTTACCTTTCTCCAGTGATGGATATTTAGTCTTACTGCATTGGAAGAAGCTCACTTCTGAATGTTTCTACTCGTCCTTGCCTTTCTTGATTCAGTAGAATTCCTTCGGGATATTTTATACACAAGAGGAAAAGACAAATTTCAAAAGTGAAGGCACTGAAAAGCTGAGATTGCTGGCATCTCAGCTGTAACCAGGGAACATGGAGGCCATTTATTACTGTACTGTGTATCTGATGAAGCAAGCACACAAATGAATCTTGGAACACTTCAGATATGAAGTGGTTAGTGACAGGAGTGGGGAAACTTTTTCAGCCCAAGGTTTTTATTACATTGTGGAGACTGCATGCCACAGGTAGGCAGGGTCAGAAGCAAGAAGTGGGCAGAGTAACTCCTACCTTTGTGCAGAAGACTACATTCCAGTTATGCAAGTGTTAGCAGTTTCTATACACTCACTGCTCACGTGCACATCTTTCACCCAGGCAAGCAAGAAGCATTATTGCGGTTCAAGGACACCTTAGAGCCAGGCAAAAATACTTGAGAAGAATGTAGAGCAGATCTGAGATTCCTCAGCCCTTGTTTACTGGGACATGAGCTTTTATATACTCGAAGTCTACTGCATCAGATGTATGATGAAAATGGACATCTTTACACTGGGGGTGAGGAACCGTGAAGGATTGAACAAATTAAAAAGATGAGAATGAATGATAACATGAATGAAAAATTACTTCCTGGCTAAGAAGTAGCTCTATCTGAGCCATTTTTTAAAATTTCCATTTTGTATTCCGCAGGCAATCTCGTCTATCATCCCTGACAGAAGAATTGCTGAAGAAGAGAGGTAAATTAAGAAGCTCTACTGGGAAAGACTTCTGCCTAGGACAAAAATAATAATAGTACTTACTTTAACCACTGCCTTTTTCTGGACAAAAAAATTGGAAGAGGTTGGCAGCAGTGAGTTCTTGGGTCTGCCTTCATATACTGCATTTGTAAGGTAAAATGATTTTGCATGTACATGTGAAAATGTAAAGGATAAACATGACAAGCTTGTTTGAACTTGTGTATTATACAAATACACCTGCCAAAAGCCTCTGCTTGAGTGTCTGATTAGCTTACACCCATTGGCTTAAAACAGGTGTGTTTTAAGTAACTATCATTTGACTGAATCCAGTGTCTTTTCTCATAAACCTGATTTTATACGTACCTAGGTTGGTAAACAGCTTCATGCCATGGAGAAGAAGCATAGGCAAACCAACCCTCCATAAGCAGATAATGTCACCTGGGAGCTGGGCACTCATGTGAAAGACTGATTGCATGAAAGTCCTAATTGTGTGATTCTTCTCCCCACCTTACATTAAGCACCCAGGTTGCAAGTGATATTATTTGTGTGGGAGATTGGAGACACAACCATGCTATTTCTCCATCATAAAAAGCCAATTATTAGCTAAAGTATGTGTGAGCCAGGTTGCAGTCCTATGCACACCTGGGAGTACGCTCCAGTTAACACACTTTGGATAGCTACTTAAGCATCACCAAAGAAAAAGAGAGGTAATGCATCAAACCTCTCCCCCCAGCCAAAAATAGAGGACACAGATTTGCAAAATATCTGCATAGGCCAATGTATATGTATTGATGGAAATTTAGAAATAATGACTGTAATTTAAATAGAAATGCAACAACCTCACCACCATGGGGAAGACACCGAACAGATGACTGAATGCCTTATCAGTGTGTTGTCCAAGTGCTTAAGTGATGATGAGTAACGACAAGCCCCTTTTTAATGGTACTTTGTCTGTATACTGGACTCAGACTTGACAGTCCTTTAAACAGGGAACTATCATCTATGAACTAGGACATATGGCTACACTAGAATTACTTTTGACTCATTACTCACACAGGATGGTCCTGGAGCTTATGCTGCCAATCGGTTAGGCTTCCTTCAATCTATTTATAAGTGAATTGGAGGCTCTAAATAAGAATGGAGCATGGTCCCAGGTGGCATCTTTTCTGAGCTAGACTCTAGTTCTTGTTTTGACTTAAAACAGTGCTGGATTTAAAAGCTG